CCTCCTCCCTTGTGTAGCTATTTAGTCCACCTGCTGCCCTTTGTCTGTGCCAGTTTGTTCTCAGTTTTTTGAGCACATGTTCTAGCAGTTTCCTCCGTGTGTTCTCCAGGTTTTTTTGATCTGATATTTTGTATTTTTGCATTCTGCTGAAGCCCCTAGCCTTTGGAAACTTTTGTTTGTATTTTTGGACTGTTTTTTCTGTGCACCATCCTTTAGTGAAGACCTTGTGATTTTGTGAGTCCTCTCTATATTGGGACCAGTCTGATAATTTCATTGTTCCAGGGCTCTATTTCCACTGGTTTTTAAACAGAGCCTCTAACAAACACAGAGATCGTTTACACGCTTAACACATGATTTTAGCAGGATTTCACTTATACAAAGTTTATTATCCAAGTTTTATTAGTCCGCAGTGACAACGTTAATATTTTACACTTTGTTTCCATCACTGCAGCTCAAAGTAACATGAGACACCTGTGATGACAACTAGAGATTATATTTTATTAGATAAATAATCCACACACTGTTAATCGACTCCCACGGTCAGATAGACCTCATCAGACATTTAACTAGACTCTTTTCGGTAACACTTTACTTATAATGTCATAAACACTATGTACATGTCATAAACGTTTATGACTGCTGTCATTAAGTGTCATTCGGTTTTTGTAATGACAAGTTGACATTGTTTGGGTTGTCTTGATTATGACAACTTGACATTAATCAAAGTGACATTACCAGAAGTTGTCTTTGTCATGACAAGTTGACATTAAATTTGTTTGGGATGTCCTTATTATGACAACTTGACATTAACCAGGATGACATTACCAGAAGATGTCTTTGTCATAACAACTTGACATTAACCAGGATGACATTACCAGAATATGTCTTTGTCGTAACCATTTGACATTAACAAGAAATGCACCTCTTAGTGTGTTTATGACAAGTTGACATAATGATTATTACTGTTATTATGACAAAGACATCTTCTGGTAATGTCACTTTAATTAATGTCTAGTTGTCATAATCAAGACATCCCAAACAATGTCAACTTGTCATTACAAAAACCAAATGACACTTAATGACAGCAGTCATAAATGTTAATGACATGCACATAATGTTTATGACAGGTTCATGACAGTGTCATGTCACCCTTATGTAGATATCTTCAAGTACATGAAACAGCTGCCAGCATGAAAGCATGGATCCATCCATCCAGTTCAGGCTGGTGGTGGTGGTGTAATGGTGTGGGGGATATTTTCTTGGCACACTTTGGGCCCCTTAGTACCAACTGAGCATGGTTTAAACACCACAGCCTACCTGAGTATTGTTGCTGACCGTGTCCATCCCTTTATGACCACAGTGTACCCATCTTCTGATGGCTACTTCCAGCAGGATAACGCACCATGTCACAAAGCTCAGATCATCTTGAACATGACAATGAGATCACTGTACTCCAATGGCCTCCACAGTCACCAGATCTCAATCCAATAGAGCACCTTTGGGATGTGGTGGAACAGGAGTTTCGCATCATGGATGTGCAGCTGATAAATCTGCAGCAACTGCGTGATGCTATCATGTCAATATGGACCAAAATTTCTGAGGAATGTTTCCAGCACCTTGTTGAATCTATGCTAAGAAGAATTAAGGCAGGAATGATTAATTTGTTGCACTGCATCCACATTTTCCAAAATCTCTAATGTGACGTGTAGTATTTATAGTATGGCTCTGTTGTTTGTTTAAATGTTGTCTTAAGAAACAGCTGACGTTCTTGGATGCAAGACAACTTTCAGATTTGTTTCTGACAATAAAGTGAAATCAAATCATGTCTGGATTTTCAACACAAGCACAAATACTCAACAAATATGAGAAGAACTGGCAAAGTGTTTATTGTAAATCGTTTCAAATGGACACAGAAAAGACCACGTATGTAAAATAAAATATCTCATGTGTATAAAAAGAACAGACATTGTAACGAAGCAGTATGGAGACATTCAGAAGAGATGAGTCGGAGATACGCTGGACAGGAAGGAGCTTTTATATTTCAGAAAAACATCCCGTGAAATCCTCTGACAGATTGTTTATTTTAATCATGCTCTGTGCTGCGACTGTCACAGAGCAGATGTGAGTGGATTGGCAGGACAAGAAGATTGTTTCGCAATTTTTCACCTGTAATTGATTCATTTTCTTGCATTAACCTGGACTTTTCTGTAATTGATATTAAGTGCTCAGAAACACACATCACATGTGAGTCGGCCTTGATTAATGTATTAATCTGATAGATCAAAGCAAGTATGAGCCTTTCCCTTTTATTTTTACTGTGGCTTAATGTATTTCAACTACTACCAGGCCGCTGCACGTGTTTCCACATGCATCTCATCCACATGCTGTCAAGGACTGTTATTTTAGAGACGACGTGCAGACATGGAGAAAACAAATCCCTTATTAAAAGCAGATAAAGCATAACTCAGTGATGGAGTGAAAACACGTTCACCTTCATATGAAAATGAGCACACAACCAAAAGACATCAACCGCTAGCTCACTGGCCCATATCAAAACTAGCAATGACATGCAAGCTTACACAAGAACAATAACTTGATGCTGTGACTCGTTAATATCCACATACTGTTGATGAAATTTGGTCCAGTCATTTTTTTCCAACTGAAAGTGTTCACAAGCACAGGCAAAGTTAATCCAATGATCAATTTCTTAAAATCAATCATCTTACAGTTGTATTTGTGGCTCTGATTAGGCAGCTCATTCACCGACAACCTGCATGTGTGCATAATCAGTGCCAGCTGCAGCTCTGTGGGACACTACGCACGATATTCACTTCAGCAACACTGCGATAAGCTATCAACAAGTGGAGGTTCGGCAGCGGCTATGACCACGTACAGTCAGTAAAGGGACGACAGAAAAAGCCTAAAAAAAAAAAAAGCGCTGCAGACAAAGAACAAGGTACCGTAGCAGTTTAGCAACACATCAAATCAGTGTTAAAAAAAAAAAAAAAAAGGTACAAAAACATTTTGCTAGAAAAATATATTGTTAAATATACAAGACATGCATGTTAGAAATATATGACGGACCAAAGACAAAACAGGCAGCAAACAGAAAAAAACAAAACATGGTTAACCCTGTATCATCAGCACTACATGTACAACTTTTGTTGTTAAAATAAATTCAAGTTTCTTTCGTATTTTTTCAACACTTCATTGTTCGAATGGGCAAATGATGGGAAAGAAAAAGATAAAACCAGGACTGAATCAAGAGTTTGATTGTTCCTAAGTTTTCTCCAGCGCAAAAATGACTTGTTGATTAATCAATAAGTCCACCGACAGAAATAATCAGCGATAAAAACATTAAAAATTTGCTGGTTTAGTTCTTAAAATTTTAAGGATTTGGTTGCTTGTTTCAGTTTCATATAACTAACTAAATTCTGTTCGACCAAGAGGAAAAAAACATCTTAGTTTTTAGACATCATGGGCTCTGATAACCTGTGATATGGATTTAATTAACGCAGGCAGCTCACAGAGTATTATCTGTTACTGTATTGATCAGACGCAGCCCTGCTTCTGCATGATATGACTGTTAGGATAAAGATGTGTCTAAGATATGACTTACATTAAAAGCATGATAATGTTTATGTCAATAAATTTATCTTTTTTTTAGACTGTTTTGGCAGTGGAGTGCTGCAACTAGCTTTGTGGATAACTCAAAGCCACATTTCACACAAAACTTTGAAGTAAAACAGCCGGAGTGCTGCCTATTTGAAAAATAAGAAAACAAAGTGTTAGTTGCCGGGATTGTCTACACTAATTCAGGGATGACGGGGGGTAATTTGTTAGTCTGACTGATTCCTTTCTGCGTTTCCTCCATCATTTCTCACATAAGCCACGACAGATATGTTGCAATGCTCTCAACATGACAGCACAGATCTGATGTACACCGTACCAGTACGATTCACAATGACAGGGAAACACAACTCTACACCACAATCATGTGCTATCAGTATTCCAAACTGAACGCATGCAGTCTGCTCGCCTTTGAAGGGGAACTTTAGCAGGTTTCACCCTGGACCTTTTTCATGTTTTTGTGCCTCAGTGACTAAAGGAAGCGAGCGAGAGCGCTTCAGCCAGCAGCTGCGAAACAGGCGATGTAACCACTCGGGGCATTCATGCATCATCAGTTTACATCTGCTAGAAGTGCTTGTTTTTGCCACTGACAGACTCATTGTTCCATACAGCGATAGTCCTTTTTATGAAAGAGTAAGAGTGCTTTCACACCTGCCCTGTTTGGTTCGTTCAATCAAACTTACATTTGTTTTTGCCCCCTAAGTATGGTTCCTTTGGGCAGGTGTGAACACAGCAATCGCAGTCAGGTGCGCACCAAAACAACCGGGCCGAGACCTGCTTGAAGAGGTGGTCTCAGTCCTGTTACAAACAAACTCTGGTGCGGTTCGTTTGTGGTGAGAACATGTTCCAACCTTAATCCGAACCAACTGCAGTCACATGACACATTGTTTGGGTTAAACATGAGCATGTTACAGTCCTGGAGGATTATTAATGTGCACCTCCTCCTGTACTGCCTTAATATGCACATTCAGCACATCCAATGCATCAAAACATTGTTTTCTAGTTGGAGCCGCACCTCGTTTTCAAACTGTATGGTTTGACTAAAATGAACAATGACAGCAATATAGTCCATGATGAGCAGCGCTAAAATCAACCTGCGTAGTTGTCCCTCCATTGTGACATTAGAAAGTGTCACATTTATCTTGCAAGTGTACTCTTCTTCACCGTTTGCTTTACTTCCTGGATTTTTCCTACATGGAAATTCTGACCAATCAAGAGCAGCTTTCTTGTGCAAGACATTTGATCTGGTCTGCTTGTAAATGCTGCCGTGAGAACATGAACCAACTCTAGGCAATTATACAACTTTGTAACAAGATTAGTCCCTGATTCAGACCAAAGCAAGACAACTCTAGGTCTGAAAGCACCCTGAGATCATTTTTGTTCAACCAGAAAAAATCATCATCATCATCATCAAATGCACCAGACTCCATTTAAATAAACACTAATTTCATAATGGTAAAACACGCTTCATTCAAAGTGGACAGAAACAAAATATAACTCACAAAAACCATTTTTGTTAGTCTTTCCACTGTTTAACGATTACCATCTCTGGTTTGGTTGGAATTAACCCTCAATTCACCCAGTCAAATGTGAAAATATGCCGGCTTCAGACATCCTTAAATTACTGTTTTTGTAAAAGGAGTCTGGTGGCTTTGGTGATAGTGATTTTGAGGCCGTTTCTGGTTAAACAAAAAGGATCTTACTCTCTAACAAAAAGGTCCATCGCTGTAAGGATCCTTTCCATAATGTTGTTCAACCTGTCAGTGGCAAAACAAGCACTTTTGGTAAACGTAAACTGATGGTGCACAAATGCCCTGAGCAGCTTCATTGCAGCCTGCTTCACAGCTACTAGGTGCAGCAGTCTTGCTCAATACTGGACCATGTTCAAAAACTGTTGTTCCAGTTAGTCACTTAGACACAGAAACATGGACAAATAGGGTCAAGGTTGAAAAATACCAAAGTTACCCTTTAAGTCACAAAAAAGTAAAAGGATATGTTAGCAAAAACATACACAGAAACCAAATATATATTTATATATATAATTTGTCTCCATTTTTAAAACATTTGTATTCAAAATACATTAATTAATTTTTTTTTCAAGTCAAACCTATGAAATTGTCTTTGGTCAAGAAAAATATTTTAAAATCTACAGGCTATAAATGTTATTGTACAGGAATGAAACAAAAAAATGTACTCGAGATCATGTAACTGATCAAAATGGGGGGAGCTGATACCAAGTATCTAATCATTTCCATTTGGAGTGCTCCAAATATTTAAAGTGCTTCTGCATTATTCCCTCAGCATTTAATGTGAAAGAAACATCCATTAAAGTAAGGCAGATCGGTTTCATCTACTTCACTGTCCTCTGAAATATATGTACACGTTTTGTTCAGAAGAGGAAGGACACTAAGAGAGTAGAGAGAGATAAAAGGGGCACGGACAGAGCACGATCCTCCAGAAAGATGATGATTATCAAATCAGCTCTAAAGACTGATATCAGAGCAAAACCTTAAAAGATTTGGGAGAGCATCATCACAGCTGTTGATATAAAATATTGGGTGAATAAAAAAAATTAGCAGCCTATTCACACACCATCTAATGATGCCTTTTTTCACACAGCTGTAGACGTCAAGAGGACATAAATTAAGACGAGGAGAGAGTCTCTTTATGAGGGACCAGAGGAGGGGAGGAGATGAGGCAACGTACTGCCAAAGACAACACCGAAGGGTTCATTCATTTCAAGAGCTGAGGAGAGAAGCTTGTTCTGCTTCCCCTTCTTAGGCGGTCACTGCTGTAGTGGACTCATGATGTCTGGAGGTCAGGGTGTATCATTCACTTTTCTCCTGGACACGCGGCGGACTTTCTCTCTGGGACAACTCAGGGGCTCCGTTAGGACCCTTTCAGGCTCTCTGTGGTGTAGCAACACCTGCTGGTATGGCTGTTTCAGGCCACACCTTCCTACCCGGGTTATGAGGTTTTCCCTACTATGGGGTTGTCCCTAAAACAGAAAAGATAACAAAGATGAGTGCCTTACATTTGTGTGAGTAGAAGCAGCCACGTCTGAGTGATGGCAGCTATAATAATGTAATAAAGTTAAGTTGTGTGTCACTGGGATTTACAGGGAAAAAAGAAGTTTGTTTCACAAAGTCATTTACACAACATACTAACATGCTATTTAGTACATTAAAACAGCATGTGAGATTTTTTTGAGTATGTCTAAAACCTTAGTATGAAACCAACAGTACATGAACTGCTTTGAAGTCCCTTCTTTTTATGCCTCCTTTGCATTTTTGCACAGAACCAAACAACAGAACCAGTGCGTAATTATACACTGCAGCTTTGCGGACTCAAAACAGGCATGACAGGTGTGGAATGTAACAGAACAACGTTGGCCTCTAGTGTGACATAACACATAGCAGCAGCACTTTCTAAACAATAACAATGGCATGAATGTGTCAGTACTGATCATTACCATCCCTGTTATATGGTGGCTGATCTCGTCTCATCATTCACAAAAGGATTGTGTGGCTTTTGTGGCCGCTAAACCAGTAAAAATGGAGCAAACAGATACCGTCTAATTCACAAAGCACCTGCAGAGGGTGAAATGCTCCACTAACTGCACTGCCAAGCAGATTGTGTCTCGGTGCTCCGGTGTTATTTGCGCGTATTTAAATGAGGTAATATGCATATATTTGGCAGAAAAATTGCCCCTTTCTATGCAAATGAGCCTCATTGATAAACAACGTCTAATTCACTAACACCAGCGCTAATAGCCACACGCAGTTTGAGTGAAGTAAATAACGTCTTTAGAAAGCTGGTGCAAACTGGGCCCTCCTCTGTGGAAGCCTCCCACCCAGACTTTCCAGTGATCGTGGCAGCAGTGATCATCTGTTAAATCAGGCTGTAAATAATATTTTGACATTATTATTATAATCATTATTACTTTAATGGCATCCGAAGATATTGATGCGTTGAACAGGTGACAGTCTGTGGTCGTTTTCTAAACGCATTTTTGTCACGCACTTCAAAATCAACTTTCAATAATTTATTTTACAAAACGGGGGAAACAAACGTGAACAAAAACGGTTCCATAATTCATATTAAATTCATAAGATAACGAAAAAACAGCTACAAGTGAGAGGGAATAGTGATAAAGTGGTCAAACTTTGTCAAATCCACAGCCGCAACCCATCCGACACTGTTAGACTGACTCACCAGCAGACGTCACTACATGAGGGTATACAGTATTCAGTACTTTGCCAAACAAAGTCTGCCATTGTTCTGCCACGGTGTTCTTGGCGCAAAGCCAGCATTTAAACTTTGCCATGTGTGGCTTATTGCAATCAGGGGGAAATCAGGGGCAAACTGCACTCAGCTGCCAAACTCTGTGGGCGTGTTTTCGCTGGTATATCATTAGCGCAATATCCTTTGTGAATAGGATGTTAAGACTGAGCAAACTGCGGGTGCAAATGAAGTGCAATTCAAGGTGCTATCAGCGGCCGCAGTTCATTCTTTGTGAATTCGGCCCTCAGTGTGCAAAGGCCTTTAGGAGCTCCCAAATCTCACTCTTCTCTTCTTTGAGTTAGCTGCTAACTGCTACCACCTACTTTTTAAATCTCCTACAGTGGGTTGCACACATAAACATGTTAAAATGTCCCATGATCCTGTCTGGCAGGCTGTCCTGTTTATACGGATACTGTTTCAGTACTGTTACTACTGCCTGTAGCAACTTTAAGGCAAGACCTCCCTGTCGTGTCCTCTCTTTCCGTGATTGTACCTTGTATACAGAACGGCAAAGCGACATAACTGTGTGATATTCCTGCCCTGAACAGGCAGCCTTAAAGGGGCTATGGTTACATGTGTTCAACTGACAAAGATGTTCTCACTGCTACTGCTAACTCACACAATAGTATGCTGAACTGTAGTACACATGATATGAATGTAGTGCATAGTATGCGATTTTGGATACACTGATGACGTGAAAATAATCAGCCATAAAAATTTTAATCAAATCATATACATAACACATTACATTACATATGTATGACAGTACAAATAAAACTGACTTACAAGCTCCCGTACTGCGCCGTGGTGTCACTCCTCATGTTGTGCTGCCTCTGAAGTTCCTCCATGATGTTTCGGAGCTGTTTGAGTGTCTGAAAGGTCTCTTTGGGTTCCTGAATGGTGAACTTGGAGTACTCCTCCTGCTCCCGTTGAGGGCCCTGATACACTGCCATACTGGCACATGCATCTGTGTAGAGGAAACAACATTTTACAGAGCAGCTCCAGGGTTGGACTATACCTGATAACATAAATCCCAAGACATGCTGTCCAACCTCATGAAATCAAAAGCGTTGCAGTCCCCCAATTCTAGGGGTGAAAAAAAGTAATGGGACTAGTTGACACAAGACTAGTCTGTGATGTCACTATCTTAACATCTCTCATCCGACAGATTTGAGCTGAGAGATGAGCAGAGAGATCTGAGTGCTGGTAAGATGGAGAGAAGTTTACCACAGTAAATCTACACATACTTCCCACATACACTGGTAGGATACAAAGCTGGTTGAAACTCAAAGTATCCCTTTAAGGTGAGTACTTTCAATTCACAGTCATTATTTTAACTGCTAATCCAACATGCTGGAGTTGAGACAAACCAATGAAAACCATTACCTCACTTCCACCACACAACGTGCAGTGATGTACAGATAATTAACACATGCCTGCATAAATAATTATTACAGGTCACAAGCTCTAACAATGGTGTAACGCCCCAAGAATCTCATAGTGTTGTGGGGCGTGTTATCATCATATCCTGCTCACGCTAATAAATTCAGTGTCTCATGAAAAAACACTGACCCTCCATGTTCTGGAGCTTGGTATCATTCGAGGAGAGGAGGGAGAAAATTCTCTCCGTTTCCCGGTCACAGTCTATGTCCAGCTGCAGGTTGGCCAGCACGGTGCTGAAACAGGAGAGAACAAAAGTGTAAGAGGATCTCATCCTGGAGAACACAGCAGAAAGAAGACAGGGGAACAATATTTTCATTTGTTTAGAATAAAAAACAGAGATCCAGTTGAGCCCTGGGTGTGTTCTCTGTAAATTCTATGGATTAAATAACCCGTATTCTGCAGCTCGCTCTCTTCGATCAAATACATTTGTTGTCTGTCCCTCACACTCGCCTTGAGACACGTGGTGATCGAGCTTTTGTCTCTGTGATTTCTTTCTTGTTGTATGTTGCCCTTGTGAAGCACTTTGTGACCTATGTCTGCGAGGAGCGCTATATCAATAAATTTTACTTAGTTATTTACTTTTACTTACTTAATAAGGACAAATACACAGGAGGGCGAAGAGAAAGTGGAACTGAGCAGTGAACGACCTGCCGTCACACTGAGGCTGCACAGTGACTGAACAGATGATGCAGTAGAAATGTTTCTGTTCAGATTTGGGATGAAAGTGAGTATTAAGCGCAGTCAAACAGCTACAGTAGATTAGACCACGGCAAAAACTATCAATCCTGTTTTCAATTAGAATAAGTCAGCCTTAAAAAAAGAAGCAAACATCATTTGTTGACAGCTTCAAACGTAAAGATACATTTCTTCTATGCTGTGTTAAGAGTGTTGCTCCGGGTTTGCATGTGTCAATCAGTTTATGGCAGGAGTGTCCAAACTTCGTTTTAATGGGGGCCAGATTAGATAATCTCTTATTGCATCAAAATAGACAAACGCAACAGTTTAATCTTCCAGTGACAAAGTATTCAACTTTCCTCTGCCACGCTGCTGACTTAACGCCACTTTGCTGTCTGCTGTTTGTTTGCTTATTTACCATCTCTATGAAAACGTATCAGTTCTGCCTTCCTACTTGGTCCATGTCAACAAATTGTATGATCGTCCTGAAGTGAACTGTTCTGCGGGCCACGATTGGCCCCCAGGCTGGACTTTGGACATGCCTGGTTTATGGCAACAAGCGTCTGGCAGCTGCTGTAAAACAGTCAGTTAGTTGCTGTAAACCATTTTAGAGAATTTATATCAGTTTGTTTCCAGTTCTACCCTCCGTGAGTGTCTTCATTACAGCAGCCGCATCAAGGTGGCTGGTGAAATTTACTACCAATGGCAGGGTTTCAAAACAGCGGTGGGCACTTTAATTAAGGCTTAATTGCAATCTACAACACATGTCCCACAAAACAGCAGCAAAAATATTAAATACTTTGTAGACGACGTATTTCCTGTCATGGTGGTGCTAATGCAAACACTTACGCTGTGCAGGGCTTACAACCCGGCGCGTTGTTACTCTGGTTTTTGCAGCACTGCCAGGCTCCACCGGTGTAATTAGACGGATGGTAGGTGGACAGGCGTCCCTCGTTGCAGCGGCTGACCTGGCCCAGGACCTCCAACCACTCACTGGCCTCTACACAGTTTCCTGCTTGCACATACAGAAGCTTCTCAGAGTAGACCACCTGAAACATCTGACCCCAGAGAAAGAGAGCGGTTTAAAGGCCAAGGCCTGACAGTCTTTATAGAAATCATTTCCAAGATTATTTCCAGGACACCTTCAAATTCCTAAAGCTTTACGTGAAAGACTGACAAACAGGTCTGGCTGCACTTACAGTGACAGCAGACCAAAGGTTGTAACAAGTAAAATGTTGCAGGCATCGCAAATCTGACATTTACTTTGTTTTATATGAAATTGGACAATTTCCAGGACATTTTGTTCATATGTGTCATTTCCCAACACTTCTCCATGTCTAAAGTGCTTCAGGCTACAGGCATGTCAGGTCTTTGAGGTACAGAGGAGTGAAAACAACTCATGTATCTCACGAGACTACCAATAAATAATCACGTCTTTATTGGACTTGGAATTTAACTTACTTAACCCCCACTTGTTAGCTTAACGTCACCCCAACCGTAACCCTACAATGCACGTCACCCTACTGTGGCTTCTTGAGTTGGGTAATTGCCACAAGAATATTTCTGAAAGTGGTTGAGATGTTTCCAGGCACAGCTTGTCTGCCTTCGCTGTCAGCCTGGTCAAGTGCAGGTGGTACAGATCAGACTCTTCCCAACTCCCACAGGTCTTAAAATGTTTTTCCTGGTTTGTTTCTGTGACCGTGGACTTTCCACACCACCATACGATACAGTCACAAAGGATCTCAATAAAAGATTTGTAAAATGGAGTACAAATTTTATAATTCTGGGAAAACACATGAGCTGTTGGACCTTTTTATAAATCGCACAGGCACATTGATCCCAGGAAAGCTTGTGGTCTGTAAGAAGTCCCAGCTACTTATACTCTGTCACCACCTCGATCTCCTCTCCTGTTCTGTTAGCAAGACTGGGTGGTGGGAAATTGCATCTGAGATCAAACTTTCAACTCGGGGAAAAGTTCCCATTACAAAGGGGGCCAATACTTTAGAAGTGATGATTGGGTGTCTGAGGGGAATTGGCTTACATTTTTGCGGTTAAAGGCACTTTCATCCAGTTTCTCCACTGCCTGGATATTTTTGACACTGATGATGCAGAGGGCCTCTTTCCCTGGAAAGCAGAAGTCATTGTGTCAAATGCGTGTGAAGAATAACTCACAGTGATGATCAGAAATATCAACAACTCTAATGTTTTAGGTTTTTCTGTAAGTACAAAATATAAGAAGAAGGTGTAAGTGAATGAGTGTACTGTAGGTCTTCCACACCTTTCAATATGCCTTCTAACAGCGTAAGTCACAGTGCTCTAGATATGTTTATTTTTACTGCCATTTCTGAAAAACAATCTCTCATTCCTGACAGTAATAACAGCTATTTACTTCTGTTGAAATCAGCTTTTGTTAATTGCCTCCCACAATGAATGTTTAGGCTAGCAGCGTGCTCCGAACTATCAAATTTGTTGATTCACAGTCTAAATTCCAGGTTAACAACCCAAAAAAAAAAAGCACTGCACTTGGCGCCAATCACTGTCAGAATGTTCACATGGTGATGTTTGCTGCCATCGAAGACAGCAGGAATTCTGCCATCAAAAAGATTCCCACAGATTTGACCTTGTCAACATGACATGATCTTATTTCTACATAAAATCCATGACTTTAGTGCTCGTCACAGCTCTTGTAGTTGCAGTTTCTTTAATAGGCCTTCAGGTCCAGACACACCAAACCAACATCAAAAAACTAGCAGCAACGGAGGCTGACTGTTGCGTCACCTCATGTCCTCTGTGTCTCGGCCAAGAAGTTGCACTTGAACACAGGGGAAATACTATAGCCAGTAGCCAACTAGCAAGTACGTTTTGTGCCTGCGTGAGAGGAAATAATTCAACATGCCAGCGGCGGCGGTCTGTATTCCTCATTCAAAAAGGAAACCTCAAGATTCAATATGCTAGTTAGCTAGTTAGCACATAACACAAATGGCAAACCATCACAAACTGCTTCTGCTGAAGAGCTCCATGGCAACACCTCGCCTAATATAACAGGTTTGTTTTGATCTTACGACTTCTTGACTTTTTTTTTTTTTTTTTTTGCTTTCCTCACCTCCAGATTTTTGAGGTTCTTGTGCACTGGGATGAATTGTCAATCAGATCGACTTAATTTACTGTCGGACATGAATAAACAAGCTGAATCCGCCAAAAAATGCAGACAAAGGTTGACTATACTGCAACAACTAGGGCGACAGACACTAACCAACGTTGACCAAGATGTGACTGTAATCTTGGCAGAGCCTTTCTAGAAATGTAACAAAACCAAATTCAAAGGTGTGTACGCAGTTTCAAATACAACCGCTTTTCTTAAAAAATTCTGACAACCCGACTTTGACAGAGAAGTCAATAGATCTTCATGCACCACTCAAATATCCAACTTTTAATGCTGACAAACATCTTCACAGAGAATGTAAACTGTTTTTATTGCACAAACCAACTCAGTTATTGATAGAAATCCTTCGTCTCGTCTAGAATTTGTTTGTTGTAAGCAGTAAAGTAGTGATAAAAGTTCAGCCTGACACATCTGGACGCCCCAAGTGATCAGTCAAAAAAGATAAGTACTCTAATTTATCATGACATCCTCCATTTCTGATAAATCACATGACAGTAAAACATATTTTGACCCTTTCTCTTGAGTACTCCTGAGAAGATGGTATTTTACTTAGTTTAAAAAGCCCTAAAAACTGTGTCACCACACACCAATCAGTTCAACACAATAATATATGCTGGCTTCCCCTTAATATTAATCATTTCAGAGGCTTTTAATGTCTATATACAACATACCATTATTAACAGGCACTTCTTCTATGTGTAAGATTGGAAAAGTTTTTACTTTGGTGCCATCTGGTGGTAAATTTAAGAGAATGATGCTGTGACAGGAAGCACTGCATGTGGCCATCTTCTGTTAGGTTCATCTTTTTTATGCTACAATTTCTGGGTGAAATAAATGTGGTTGGAGTACGAGATGATAGAGAGAGTTCTCACCTTTATGTTTGTGGTAGGAGAGCTCCCTGTTGGTCACTCTGAGCCATCGCTTTTTAAAGTTTCTCTTGCCAAGGCGTTTCCTGCCCTGGGCACGTTTCTGTACTTCCCTATGGAGGACACACATAAGACAGAGGTTCAAAAACTGATCAACGTTTTACAGGCGGTAAACAAATTTATTATTTTCAGCATCTTCTTTTGGTTTTGTTTGAATTAGATTGACCAGCTGGATCAAGAAAAACCTCCGCTCTGATTTTAAATAAATATCCACTGAATTCTAAGCAGTAAAATGTGTGTCTGGTGCAAAACTTTACTTGACTGCCTAACTATTCTCAGCCAGCATCACTGACATTACATTACATGAGGCTATAGTGAAGTCTTACTGGTTAGATTTCTGTCACTGCTGCACAATTAAACTTTCCACTGAGCACACATGGTAAGGATTTCATTTTTATAGTTGCTGAAGCTTTCTTTAGCCTTTGTCACTCAGTGATATCAGTGACTTTTTTTCTGCACTTTCTCCCAACAGACCACTTAAATCTCATAAGGAAGAGTGGTTAAAAGAGGCAGCAGACACAAGCTGTACTCTTTATGTCGCCTCCTCTTCCTCCTGATCCTGACCAGGCTCATAATGAACACTCACCCCTCCTTGAGAACCACTGCGTCCTCCAGCCCACTGGACTCTTTGCTGACGTTTGACGAGATCTCATCAAGAAACTGGAAAACAGAATTGATGAAGATTTCAGCCTTCACCATTTCAAATGATAAATAAATATTAACACTATCATTCTTTGGACGTTTCAGTATATTAACAAAATACCTTTTTAACTTTTTCAATACACTTGTCTTCTTGGAATGATTTGAAGAAGTCGTACATGTAGGTTTCTTTGAAACTAGACTACAGAGAGAAAAAAGAGACAGATTTTAAAATAGTGCATGTGACAATGTTTGAACAATCAAAGTTTAAAAACCAGTATTTGCCATTCACTATACAATAGACTATATTTAACTCAACTGCTTTGTTTATTAGATTTTCAAGAAATGAAAGAAATTCTGTTTAGGACATTAGATCGTACTTAATCTTACCAGTTTTTTTGACAAACTACCCCAGCTGCCCAGCGTCTGGATTGTTTTTGAGATGAGTGTAAGTGTGCGGGAAATCTCAGGATCCTAGAATTGAAGAAAAACGTACAGCGACATCAGTACACTGTAGAGGCCATGTGTGAATTTGCTCTCCAAAATATTTATGAAAACGGTGCCAGGGCCGTGCACTTACAGGATGGTGGGAGCGGAGCTGGAAGGAGTGTGGAGAAAGGACAGCGACAGCGAAGAACCGCAGGAAAACAAAGCTGCTAACGGCCGAGTATTGAACGTGTGGGTCAGCTGTAGAGAGGAGGAACATGGTGACAACTGATTCTGGCTTCACAACACAAGCTCATTCAATCGATAAGCACAACCTACGCTTAATTTAGAGTCACCAGTTAACCTGCATGTCTTTGGACTGTGAGAGGAAGCTGGAGTACCTGAAGAAAACCCACGCTGACACAGGGAGAGCATGCAAACTGTGCACAGAAGGGCTCCCCCACCCCTGGGTTCAAACCAGGAACCCTCTTGCTGTGAGGTGACAATGCTAACCACTGCACCACCGTGCCAGTGAAAAATATACAGAACTTAGTAAATGAACTGTAAAGTAATTTGGTGTGGAGCCCAGGACTGTCAACATATTTAGTGCCTTTACAACAATAAACTAGTGTCCTGCTGAACTGCTGCACAATTTCTGAGGAACAAAGGAAACAACACAGATGGAGGAACATTTACATGCCTGTGGTGGGTCAAGATGGGTTTTGTTTTGCTTGGTTTTGAAGTTTCTTTTCTTAATGTGTGAAGGATAATTTCGCAAACAAAGTGGCGGCAAAAACACACTGAAGGCTTATTTACCTGGGAAGCGTTTGCAGGCCAAGTGTCGCAGTGACCTGAAGACATCACACATAAGTGGGGGACAGCTGGAGCTGGACTGCGTGATGGAGGAAAAGACTTTCTGGACATAACCCTGAAGGTTCTCCTGCAGAGGGAACAAACATTAGTACTGCTGTAGTTTACGTACATTTGATAAAGACAGGAACACTAATATGTAGACGGTAAGGACCGCTGAAATCAATGATGATACAGAAGATGTAAGGAGAAGTCAGTGGAAGCTGAAATGCGGCAAGACATTCTGCTTTATGACCAACTGTATGTTTCATTTCTGGGATTTAAGATTCAAAACTTTCTCAACAATCTTTGGACAGCTGGTTGCCCTATCTTTGTCCATGGCAATATTTGGAGTAACTCCTCTAGATTTTAACCTAAGTAGAGTGCAAGCGGGCATTATTTATTTCTGCTTAGGTTCACCCTGTGTAAATGGAAGGACTCTTCACCTCCAATATATGGACACTGGATTAAGGATATTATGTATCATTTACAACTGGAGAAAATCTGTTGTTTTATCAAAGGATCATCTGCACGCTTCTTTGCCACCTGGCAGCCATTTTTAACTGTTGTGGCAAATATGGAAGCTGGAAATTTGTAATGAAACATGCTATACTCCCCCTACTTATGTCACACATGTTAATTAATTTGTCGTCTTTCTTCTCTATTAGATTTCCTTTGACTGGCCTGGCTTTCTCTGTTTGTTCCCGAGTTGATGGGTGGGCGGGGTTGTCCTTTTGTCCTTACTGGTTCTGTCTTTGTTTATTAATATTCTGTATATCTTTATTGAATTACCAATAATAAAAAAAAAAAGTATGTTGTGCTTGTCTGTGGACAGGTTTGTAAAACTTACAATGTACATTTACCTTGTTAACCTCCACGTTGTCACCTTCCTTTAGTTTAACCGGATCTATCTCACATGTTTTGTTGGATTCACAAATCTGTGAAGGATTGAAAAGGACAAAAAAATTACAAACAATTAGAGTCAGGTGATGAGTAACAAGGGCTGAGTTTCTGTGTTGTGTGGAACTGCGGATTTATTCCAGTTCGCTTGAAATTAGAAGGACAACAGGAGATGATGACTAAGAGTACAGGCGTGTTGAGGCTCTAAAATTAGCATTCAATAAGTCATTTAATTTTGCAGGTGCAGGTCTCAAAAAGCCACAAATGAACCACTGATCTTCACATTAATGTGAGTCAATGAGAGGAAATTCTTGAAAAGGGGTTTCAGAGGGAAGTGACCAATGCAGTGCCCTGTCAGAACTCCAAAGCCACCAAATACATCTGCTTATTTGTTGTGGAAAAGCAGCTGTTGAAGTGCAGTTTTGAAGTGCAGTTTTCCACACTGACCTCAGTGACTCATGCCCATTCTGACATCTACACTGAATGTGTGTGTGTGTGTGTGTCCTCGTTACTCATACCTCATCTATTACAGGCTTCAGGGTAACCGCCAGGTAATTCTTTCCCACAATCTTCATCATGTCATCAATGCAGCGTGCTGCCAGTGAGTTGCCTCGGAATATAGTGTTAGCCTCCCTGTGTGGACACAGAAATATTCCACCAACATCAACCAGACATTATCACCAGCTCTGACTACATCATAACATTTTTTTAAGTTATGGACATCATTTCGTCTTCATATTCATTATATAGGTATCACATTTTGTGCACCATCTCATCCATTGTTAGACAGTTTCACAAGTTTATCAAAGTGAAAATAAAAGTAATATGAAACGTATCAGATTCCCATTTTCAGAGCTGCTTCCTGTTTTAAATTCAGCTTTGGTTAAATTATCACAGCCCCAAAAAATGATGGTCAAACACTACAAAATTAGGTTGTCAAAAAAGGAACTTTACTTAAATGCTTTGAGGCTTTGAGAGGTAACAGCGTGGCCCATGATATTTATCTTGTACATGTCTAAGAGTCTACACGCCACTGTGTACCTGTACTGTACTATAATGTACTGTAGGTTGCATGTGTAAGTACTTACTGAGTGTTCTCCAGCTCTAGTGCTGCCACAGCAGAGACAAAAGGCACAAAGCGATTGTGGTGGAGCAGCAGTCGAACCGTGGGCAGAACAGCCTCGTATCGCTCTCTGCAGATGTCCCCCAAAATGTGTGCTGCTGACGCCGAGATGGGCTGAAGGAGGGTGAAATATAATGAGAGTATTTAGAGGAGGTGAAACTGATCAACTTCATTATTATATTTCTAACACATTTTACAAACAAAGGAAAAGCTGAAGCGTCTGTCTCACCTTCACATCTGGGGATTTGAGCAGCAGGTTGCAGAGTGGTGTGTAGCAGGTAGATGGCAGCACCGTGTCTTCTATGTAGGTCAGCTTCAAACGCAAGGATCCCAAATCATCAGACTTGGACTTGCTGCCATTCCCTTTAGGCTGGAGGAGATACCTGTTAGAGCACAGGAAGAAAGACACCATGTTACTGTGGTACGTGGAAAAACAAGCGTTTTCAACTTCATGACCGACCAATTTCCTTAGAAACCGACCAAGTTCAACCTAACAAACCTAGCACACACAAAACATAACACAACCTACCTAAAATTACACATGGGCCTAATAATTTTAGGCTCACTACCAGATTCAGAAAAATGGAGGCTGATGGGATGGTTGATCCTGCTGACCTGAAACCATCTGCTCAATACATCAGACACTAACTGTGCTATTATTATGGGTAAAAAAGGACAGCTAAAAGGAAAAAAGGAGAGTATCTGCACATGGAATTAAACCTCTCAAAATAAAGAACAAAAAGTATCTTCATCAATATTTTTTGTTTCTGATGTTTCTGTTAAACACCACACATACATAAGCAACTTACAGAGTCGTTGAATAGGAGAAATACTTTCAAGTTTGGGGCAACACTTACACTTATACATCCTTCAAAAGAGAGCAATCAGGACAGTTCACAATGTGGGGTACAGGAAACACACACGACCACACTGTTTTTTTAAAGTCACATGCATTCAATTTTTTAGATCTGGTCAGATTTAAAACTACAATAATCATGTTTAAAGTGCAAGATAATTCACTTCCAGGCAACATTCACAAGATGGTTTGTGACCGGGGGGGGGGGTTATAATTTCAGAGGGGTCTGTGTATTTTCAGTGTGTGGGGTGAATGTGTGGAATGGGCTGTGTAATGAGTTGAAACAAAGCACAAATGCAAATACAAAAAATATATTTTTGGCAGATATATAGACGAGGAAAGGTTGTGTTAGGGGAGTGCATATTTATTTTGTAACACTGGGTGGTACTTGGACACTTATATATTAGTTGTAAATAAAGTTGGGAATTTGTTGAAACAATATATGAGTTAAAAGCAGAAATGTAAGAAAAGGGGTAGAGACATAAACTTTACTTCTACCTACTCCTTTATAGAAACTGTTATCTTTGTCTTTTTTGTTTTTTATTATGTTTATTTCTGGTTTGAGATTAAGTCATTTATTCATTCATTTGTTTTCTAACTGGGATAATGCTGCCCTTGGAAATAAATCAGCATCACAAAGCTCTTCTAGATCAGCCTTTAACATGTTTTACCCAACGAGCATGGAAGCTCTTTGCAAAAATAATAAAACGGGACACAAAAACAAACAGAAGATTCTTGAATGATGTGTTTAAACACATTAATGTCTGATGTATAATTCAAGAGACTATTAGAGATTAGGGCTGCAACTAATGACTGTTTAAATATTGATAAATCTGACAATTATTTTCACAATTATTTGAAAATTGTTTATCACAATTTCCCAGAGCACAAAGAGAAATTTTCAAAATGCTTCTTTGGTCCTATCAGCAGTCCAAAACCCAAAGACTCCTGATTTACTCTCATAAATGCGGAAAAAGAGCATCAGATTCTCACATTAACGAGGCTGAAACTGACATTTTTGCATTAAAAAAATGACCAAAACGATTAATTATCAAAATAGCTGGTGATAAATTTCCTTTCTATCAGCTAATCTACTAAACGACTGATGATTGCAGCTCTACTGCGTATACACTAATACACCTGGAGGGTATTCTACTGTAGCTACTGTTGCTCTGAAGTGTCACCAAGATGAAAGTAGCTCAAACTCCTCATAAAAAGCAGCTCCAGGAACGACTCAGTGAAGCTAACACCTACTTGTATACACCCTAGAAGCAGGAAGACAGCTGTTTTAGCAATTCTGATGGACTAAATACCTTTGACTTAAAATCAAAGGATTTGTTAAATAGGTAAGAGAATACTGCTCATATTTCTGCTGCATGCACGTCTCCCAAAGAGCCAAAAGGTGGAGCAAAACACAAAATGATTAAATGCAGAGTTGAGCTGCAGTGCTTCAAAAAGCTGCAGCTACATACAGTGGGCTCGTCCATAACCTGCCTGAGCTGTAATCACGCTACACAGAGTCATTTCTAGGAAGAAGTGAACAGATCACCTGTGCTGATTTCATGAAGCTGAACAGTTGTTAAGTGTATGGAACATGGACCATTTCCAGCATAAACACAGGACATGAGGTACTGCCACCATGCAAAAAGCCACCCACGCACTCAACTCACGGCCCTCATGTACTAACAGATTGCTATCTGGCATAATCCCATATCACCTACACTGACGCAAAGCTAGGAAACACCCACACAGAGGAAGAACTGCCAAACGCTGAGGAATCCAGGGTGATTTTTCAAATCATCTTAAAGCTATGGAAAACTTAACAGTTCAGGTTGTCCCAGTGAATGAGCAGGGAGGAGTCGCTCAACATAACGACTCTAAAACAAGAAGCTCTACAAGTGATTGTGTTGATGACTTGTACTCTCCTGTATTCTTACAATTATGTATGCTTCTTATGTTCTTGTATTTTCTTCTACATGTTGTCTTTTAATGTAAAGCACTTTGAGTTTAAGCATAATAAAATGTGCTATATAAATAAAATTGCCACTGCCAAGTGTGAAGACCTGATCTAGTTTAGACGAAGGTGACCAGGCCATCACGTCAGAGCGACTTCAGTCTACTAACACTACTTCATTTAAAAATAATCTAATACATTTATTGATAAAACACAACGACTTTTGCAGGGACAGGACAAGAGCACCCTGGACTTATTTCCAGTTATGTCCCTGATGTTTCTGCAGTCCAGTAAAAATCACATCTCTAGTTGATAACAAACACGAGACAGGAGTGGTGCATGTACGCTGCACAGATCTCCCATTATCTCACCTGGAAATCTAATATGGGCCGATTTATTTTTAGCCACGGCAGGACAAAAAGGCATTTAGTGAGAAACAACAGGCCCATGTACGTGAAAACATTTGACTGCATGCAGTTGACGTAAATGTGAAGAGAGTGTGGCGGACTGGCAGCTCTACTAAAGTGCTTGCAGCAACAACATGATCTAGTTAAAGCAAACTGTTGAACAGAGGCTAATCAGTGTCAAAGTGAGCTCAGACGTATGACATCATGTGATACATACAGTACAGGCCAAAAGTTTGGACACACCTTCTCATTCAATGCGTTTTCTTTATTTTCATGACTATTTACATTGTAGATTCTCACTGAAGTCATCAAAACTATGAATGAACACATGTGGAGTTATGTACTTAACAAAAAAAGGTGAAATAACTGAAAACATGTTTTATATTCTAGTTTCTTCAAAATAGCCACCCTTTGCTCTGATTACTGCTTTGGCATTCTCTCGATGAGCTTCAAGAGGTAGTCACCTGAAATGGTTTTCCAACAGTCTTGATGGAGTTCCCAGAGGTGTTTAGCACTTGTTGGCCCCTTTGCCTTCACTCTGCGGTCCAGCTCACCCCAAACCATCTCTATTGGGTTCAGGTCCAGTGACTGTGGAGGCCAGGTCATCTGCCTCAGCACTCCATCACTCTCCTTCTTGGTCAAATAGCCCTTACACAGCCTGGAGGTGTGTTTGGGGTCATTGTCCTGTTGAAAAATAAATGATCGTCCAACTAAACGCAAACCGGATGGGATGGCATGTCGCTGCAGGATGCTGTGGTAGCCATGCTGGTTCAGTGTGCCTTCAAATCCCCAACAGTGTCACCAGCAAAACACCCCCACACCATCACACCTCCTCCTCCATGCTTCACAGTGGGAACCAGGCATGTGGAATCCATCCGTTCACCTTTTCTGCGTCTCACAAAGACACGGCGGTTGGAACCAAAGATCTCAAATTTGGACTCATCAGACCAAAGCACAGATTTCCACTGGTCTAATGTCCATTCCTTGTGTTTCTTGGCCCAAACAAATCTCTTCTGCTTGTTGCCTCTCCTTAGCAGTGGTTTCCTAGCAGCTATTTGACCATGAAGGCCTGATTGGCGCATTCTCCTCTTAACAGTTGTTCTAGAGATGGGTCTGCTGCTAGAACTCTGTGTGGCATTCATCTGGTCTCTGATCTGAGCTGCTGTTAACTTGCGATTTCTGAGGCTGGTGACTCGGATGAACTTATCCTCAGAAGCAGAGGTGACTCTTGGTCTTCCTTTCCTGGGTCGGTCCTCATGTGTGCCAGTTTCGTTGTAGCGCTTGATGGTTTTTGCGACTCCACTTGGGGACACATTTAAAGTTTTTGCAATTTTCCAGACTGACTGACCTTCATTTCTTAAAGTAATGATGGCCACTCGTTTTTCTTTAGTTAGCTGATTGGTTCTTGCCATAATATGAATTTTAACAGTTGTCCAATAGGGCTGTCGGCTGTGTATTAACCTGACTTCTGCACAACACAACTGATGGTCCCAACCCCATTGATAAAGCAAGAAATTCCACTAATTAACCCTGATAAGGCACACCTGTGAAGTGGAAACCATTTCAGGTGACTACCTCTTGAAGCTCATGGAGAGAATGCCAAGAGTGTGCAAAGCAGTAATCAGAGCAAAGGGTGGCTATTTTGAAGAAACTAGAATATAAAACATGTTTTCAGTTATTTCACCTTTTTTTGTTAAGTACATAACTCCACATGTGTTCATTCATAGTTTTGATGCCTTCAGTGAGAATCTACAATGTAAATAGTCATGAAAATAAAGAAAACGCATTGAATGAGAAGGTGTGTCCAAACTTTTGGCCTGTACTGTATGTCAAAATCAAACTAGAGTTTTAAGCACAGTATCTGTTGCATGAAAACCAAAGGTACAGACAGGCTGTTTAGAGTAAATAACACCAGAATTCCTGAAGTCACCGGAAAATATAAAGGGATGGACAGAAACCAGAGGATGTGCAGCCTCTGTGATGATAATCACGTTTGAATGTCAGAATGTGAGCTTAATGACTTACAGAGACAGGTATTATTTAAACCGTTCATCTATGTTTAAATTAAAAGTAATTTGTTAACTAGGCTTTATTGAAGAATGTCCTTCTTCTAATGATTGTTCTTTTATTATTATCTCACACTTGTGTTAGGATGTCACACACCTTGACATGTTTGGGCGGAAACTTCCGCCTTCCTCAGAAGTGTCACTTGGTGGTGGTTGTGATGCGTCTTTATCTGTCAATCAGCTGATATTAGGGAGGCGTGACCGTCCTGTCAGTTTTGACAGGACGATCACACCACCTGCTGTCCCCACCGCCTCTCCAGGGCGCTGCTCCAGGTGTGGGAGAGTATGTATGCCCCCTCATCTCTGTTCATCATCCCTGGGCACCGCTTCCTTATTTCGATAGCCTCCTTGATCCAACGCCGGTATTTGTTGTGTGTGTAGCAGGTGGCGTGACTGTCCTGTCAGTCACGCTCCCTAGTATCAGCTGATTGACCGATGAGCTGATAAAGATGCGTCATAGCCACCACCAAGTGACACTTCTGAGGAAGGCAGAAGTTTCCCCCGAAACATGTCAAGGTATGTAACATCCTAACACATGTCTGAGATAAAAGAACAACTAAAGTCTTCATCAGAAACTAAAGACATAATGAACACCATTGAACTATGTCCTTCCTCTGTTTCAGTAACACGCCTTGTGCCATTGTTTTGTTACTGTATGTAATGTTTGTGCTCCACACCATGTGATATGGTCGTGAGTCAAATAAATGAAATAAATTATGAGGTGAATGGGAAAAAAGTAAACACAATATTAACAAAAAAGTGGTTTTGCTCAATGTATTTTTAACTATGTTTGATTATTGGATTATTGTTAGTAGATAAAAGAGGTGTAACACAAAGCTACTGTCTGTATCTGTTTATTTTACAGTAATGTCTGCATCACTGTGTTCATATCAACACTACGAGTTCGTTCGGCCTTCCCCCAGGAGCTGTCAGAAATTGTCTAAGCTGCTTTATTTTCTGTGTTTAACTGATTTCTACTTTCATTTATACTCTTGACATTTACTTTATGTTTAGTCGCTCAAAAAATATTCAAATATTTAAAATAATTAAATTAATATAAATATTTTAATGAATATAATATATAAATCATAATATTTATATGTAATGTTATATAAAAATATAATATTTATTCATTTTATACATATATATGTATATAATTAATAAATTATATGACTGACTCTAACTGGTTAAAATATAAAGTGACTTATAATAGCAACCACATTTTCAGTTTCGGCTACAAACTTTTTTTTTTTTTTTTATTAACAGTTTAATTCTTATTTCTTTCTTTTAGATATTTTGATGTACCTTAATTAATCCCGTGAAAAAAAGATTTGTAATTGAACCACATCCTTAACAAACAAGAAAACTAGTCTAAATTGAGTTTAAATAAAAGATTTTTAAACAGGTGTTTTGTGGAAAAGGACAGTGGAAAGAGAACTGACGGTTGTGGAAAATAAAAGTCAGAAGAGTTAATTAAATCTGATGGATGTGACCCATGATCTGGAGCTAGAACAAACATTTTTCTTTGATTTTCATAATGGATTTTTGGATGTTTATCTTCGGTGAACATCGGAAATCCACCACTGGCACAACCACAGTAAAGAGTGAGCTTAGCAGACGTTTCAAATAGTGTAAGTCTTGTGACAGGAGAAAAAAAAGCAGAATTATGGATGCTGGTTGTGTTTGTTTGGAGCAAAATAATGTCAGAAATTAAAAAACAAAAATCTTCTGTCCCATCCGTACCAGGCTTTGTGGATGTGGTCGCTCCGCAGGATCTTGACCGGGACCCGCGTCTCCCCCAGAAACACATCCTGAGCCAGATTCTCATTGTTCCACAAATCAACTCTGCAAAGGCAGAAGACAGGAAGTGAGGAAAGTATTTCATCTCTAAATATACGCCATCAAATGTACATCCAGGAAGGCACATTTTTCATTGCTGTGTGTGTTCAGCACAAACACAAACACCCAGTTCCAATATGGCAAAAAGGGACAAAATAAATGTCACTACTGGAGTGGTGCTTACCTGCTTGGTGCATAGAAGCCAATACAACACCCGTGCAATGACACCACCTCAAATCCAAACCTCAAACCCATGCATGAGTGTTTACCTTTGACTCTGTCTAGTCTTACCCAGTGAGCTATGAGTCCACTGTGAGGGAAGCCCCACATATCCTTAACCAGAAACCAAGGCTCTCTATCAGTAGTCAGAACACACCAGATCTAAATTCACTTTTTTGTCCTCAAGTTGTTAAGAAATAATTTTTCTTCTGTCAAGACTATAGAGGGGAAACAAGAGAGAGAGAGGCAGGGAGGGAGAGTCACAGAAAGTGAAACATACAAAGGAGAGGAGGGGGAGAAAAACAAACTTACTTGATCTCAAGTTTTTCAATGTCCTCGTCCTCCACTTGGAAATGAGACTTTTTAGAGTAGCTGCTGGACCGTGTGACCTGAGGGTGGACATGCCAAAGCTTATTTACAGGCTTACTTACACAAACAGTGTTCAAGTGAGCCGAATAAAAGTTACCTCAAAGAAGAAGGTCTCTTCAAACTGAGGGTTGCTGGTTTTCTTCTTTACCTTTGTTTTCTTTTGGTCAGATCTGAGGAGGCACATTAGAGAAACTATGTCACATCACAAACTGATCATCACAAGAGCTACTCTGCCTTACATGTGGTTACCATCGCTTTTTAGATTCCGTTTTGATTTCTGTGCATCAAGATTACAGCCATTTATAAAAATCTTCAATGAGGAACATCAATTTTTTTTTTTTTTTTATCTAGTGATCTAAACAAAGCTCACAGTGTCACCAGTGTACTCAAGATTAGATCACTGCGAGTCATGACACTACCGCCTCAGCCTCAGTTTCCTTTAGCGACTGCAGTTTGCTGCAAAATGGATCAAAGATAGCACACTAGTGTTAGCCACCCTCCGCTGGCTCAGTCCATTAAGAACTGATTTACATTTTATTGTGACACTTGTAATAACTGCTTTTTTAGGTCACATGGGGGCAAAAAACAAACACAATACTGTCATAACACTGTTCAGACCAACATTATAATTCATTTGGAGTCGAGTTTGTGTCCATATCAACTCCTGATTAAAATATCTGACCCTTTAGTTGCTAAATGCTCCACTATGTTCACCAGCTAGTCTCTAAGCTCTTAGTGAGGAGCAGATACTGTCCAGTAGGTTTTTAGAGCTTTTCCGCTGAAAAAAATGATGATGTGAGAGCGGTGACACTGAACCAAAACAGTTAAGGTGTGTGTCGGAGAGCCAAACAGTGACCTGCAATTATAAAGCTCTGTAGAGCCAAGGGGAGCAGCAGATTATGATGATTACTGGCTATAGGTTCATTACTATGACCAACCCCTTTCACGCTGTCGCATATTTTGACACAGTCATTTGATACATTGTTAGAAAAGCTTGATAATACACTACTTGCACAGTGTAGTGTGACGTATATCCATTCTAATTTCAAGTTTACTTTCTGTAAACTCTACAGTCATGTTACCTTCGCCTCTGACCTTAGTGATCCTTCACTTTCCACAGTTAGCTTTGTACATATTGTTGGTTTTGTATATAGTGTTTTTGATTATTTTAATAGCCAGATAAGCCAGTCAGCTAACCTAGCTAGCTACTAAAATGAATCAAATTTATGAGGCTGTAGCAAAGCTCTGAAAATCAGGCTAACGTTGGTGCTACTCTGAGTGGATAGCCAATGCCGCTAACAGTTATCTAAGACAGTGGTTCCCAACTGTTAGGTAGCAATCCCAAAGTGGATCATGGGTCGCATCCTGAATGGACTGCAAGCAACGTATGAGCGTGTCAAGTTAGTAAAAAACACACTTTATTTTGAAATACAGTTAATTCCAGCACATTTTGAAGAGCTGTTTCCTGCTGTAGAGTGAGTGACTAACGGACAACTACTTAACAAAGACAGCAAACTAGCTCGATGACATGGCCAAACGCAAGTACGACACTGAATAAATTGAACTGTGTGGACCTTGAACTAATGACTAAGAAGCACTCTACACCCATAGGTGGGGGCTGGAATCAAAAACACTATATACAAAAAGTAACAGTAAATGCTGTTAACAATATGAAAAAAGCAAACTGTGAAATGCGAAGTAGTGTTAACTAACTTAAGGACAAAACAGCACTGTGATTAGTAGGTTGGAAGCTAAAGTAAGGTTACTGTAGAGCTGACAGGTACCAGATATGATGTTCATAAAACGGATATATGTCACACTACATTGTGCATGTGGAGAAGGCAACACCTGATCTGTGTGTCTAATACTCCAGTTTAGTTTTATTTCTCTAGCTTTTTGTTTCTTAATTTTTAATTTGGAAAACAACTGTGCAGTGTTTATTTAAGGACATTGGTGTAAGTTTCCATTTATAATGATATATCATAATATTATTAATGCATAATCAAGAAGTTAAAAGGGAGCAAACATGCTGCTGATTCTACACCTAAAACATGTACAGAATATCATGTGTGTATGTTGTAAACCCTTGCTCCCTTTAGTTACCTGGCAGGTCCAATGAGTGACACGGTGGCGTAGGGGTCACAGTTCTGCCCACTGATCAAAGGCAGTCCCTGGCATTCTATTATCCTGGAGACACAGAAACAGGGAGGGACACCATTAATAAAAATGACTGTAGGACTGTGTTAATTCACATCATTACCACCACCTGAAGTATTAGTCAGAAATCATTTTTATGTACGTAGTTTAGCAGCAGAATTTGGGCAGACAATCCACTGCTCTTACTGTTACTGTCAAACTAATCATCTTAGAACAAAACAATATTTTAAACAATTATAAATCGACAGACTTGAAAGTGACGCAGACCTTGGGAGAGCTTAGCTTTCAACACCATGTCTTCCTGAGAGCATAAATGGTAAATAATTTCTTGTTGGTTCAACAGATGCCTGAGTGGAAATTCTAATGCTATTAAGCCTCTACAGCCTGCATTGTCACAGCACTGAGTAAAAACAAACAAACAAAAAAGAGGTTACTTGTAACAGGACACTTATGAACAATCAGGAAAACGTTTCCCCAGGAGGCACCACCGTACAAAAGCTGAGGTCTCTTAACCTCCAAACTTAACAGACAATTATGACTTTCAAAGAAGACATATTATCTTTGTATTGACGTGTTGAGTGTGCCACTACGGAACAGATCAGTGTGCAGTGGGCATCAACTTCAGTAACTTTAAAACCAACTCAATAGGCCAAGAAATAGCCCATAAAAAGATAAAAATCGACCTAACTCTTTCGTCACGAGTCACGACTCTTGTTTTCTTTCACACACGCTACACACAAACACATGATTATGATGTAAAAACTACTAATACAGTACATTTTTAACTTTTTACCTAAATTAAAATCAGGATAAACTCATGCATTCTATACAAAATAATACTTTAAACACCACTAATGCTTCTTAAAAATGCACTTCCTGTACAAAGAGCTAACTGATTTATGTTGACTCAGGACTAGGGTTGCAACAATATGAGATTTTTACAGTACGGTAACCATCTCAGAAAATATCGTGGTTTCACGGTATCAAGGTATTACAGAATTTGTATTATCATCAATCAGAATGACCCTTAAAACAATGAAAATGGAAGGCTTGTTGTTGTTTGAACAAATGTTTTTATACAATAATTAAAAATTGAAACCATTTTGTCCAGTTGCATTTTTTTCAATATTATAGATAAGCACACAATATGCTAACCATCAACTTTTATATCACGATATACCCTGAAACCAGTATACTGCTGCAACCCTGCTTAGGACAAAATAAAAATTTTCATTTAAAGCTGCAGTTGGTATCTTTTATGAAAAAATAACTTTCTGTTATATTTGAAACTGTCACCGTTTTGACACAGAAGTAAAATGAATATCATAAAAAAATAGCATACTCATCTGTCTACTCTATCGCCTTGTAGTGCTTCTAATGGCATTGTTGCACCTGAACATAAAAAATAAAACATCAGAGCCGAGGAGTCTCTAAAGCAGCTGTAAAACATGACACACCCTGCCTGCGAACTGCGGTCAAACTGTCAAACTAGGTAACGCTCAAGATTCTGTTACTGCATTGCTCACTTCTCGCCTCAAATGTTTCCAGAAACATATTTTAGTGTACTGTTTAGCTGTAAAATGAGAACATTTGTGACCCAGCTGCTACTTTGACAACAGTCAAGCCAAAACAAAACAAAACAAAACAAAACAAGACACGGCAGACCAACTGGAGCAAAACTCTCATTTTACAGCTTAACAGTACACATATTTTAGTGTACCGTTTAGCTGTAAAATGAGAACATTTGTGACCCAGCCGCTATTTTGAGAACAGTCAAGCCAAAACAAAACAAAACACGGCAGACCAACTGGAGCAAAACTGTCATTTTACAGCTAAACAGTACACTAAAATATGTTTCTGAAACATTTGAGGCGAGGCTAGTTTATTTTTGATCAGCGCTGACAGTTTGACCAAAGTTCAAAGAGTGATTCACATGATTGACAGGTATGTTATAAACTCCTCGGCTCTGATTGGTTGTTTTTTGGTGTGCCAGGGTAAATTCCAGCAAATGCCATTGGAAGAAGTAGGAAGAGAAGGAGGGACGTGATATTTTTTTTTTTTTTTTTCTTTTACACAACATCTGTGTATATTCTCTTTCAGAATAGTGACAATTTCAGCAAATGCGGCAAGAAGTTATTTTCATAAAAGTTACCAGCTGTAGCTTTAAACTTCAAACACATCGCACAGTCTTGTGTGTTTTTCTATTTATTGGCTCATCCCTTCTTGTTGCGACACTGATTCCTGTAAGACGGTGTTGCATTTTGTTGGGGAAACAAGGGTCATGATGCCTGGAGGCAACACTGGACACAGAGGGCAAACATATCGTTATGAAGTTGGTTGTGATTCAAAACTATTTTATGTTTTATTTTTGTCAAATTCATCAGTTTTCAGGCTTCTTTAATCTGCCATCAATTGTCAGGATTGCTACTTAAAATTACATTGTTACCAACTCCTCAGTTCTCAAATGGCCATTGTGTCAACAGTTTAAAACAACACCATGCATTGATATAGAGGTGTTATGGTCTTCGTTTAGAAATTGTGCTTTGCCCTCATGTTTGGCTCGTGTCACACAGCGACCACTGCTTTTTTTTTTTTTTTAAACAGGTGTTTTAGGTGACAACAAACAGACACTGTGGGCACCCTAAACAGGATGTTGCTGCTAAGCAGGAGTCACTGGAGAATAAGAATGAATTCATCACTAAGTGAGGCCAGAGGGAGAAGCCAAGCAGAGCAAATGTCAGGATGTTTGTGTATCATCTTCCAGGGTGTCATGACAATATTCCCTACAGTCTCCTTTACTTCTCTTATCTCAACCCCATCTCGCTCTGCTCCGACCATCTCTGGTGACTGAGTACGCTGCAACAGGATGACTAGAGGTGTGCACATGATAAGCTTCACACCTTATATTTCAACTTACACTTGTCTGATCAGGGTGTTGTTGGTAAAAAAAAAGAATCACCATCTATGCACACACACTGACAGTGAGCAGGTGAAGGATTAAGCAAACAATCCGAGAGACACAGTGAATGACGGCAGCAGAAAACCACAGCGGTTGCCGTGTGAGAAGCACAGGCTTCCTGCTCAGATGCCATCACTTCCTCCTCATTGCCCTGCTCTCCAAGTATGAATGGGGGATGCAAAACAACACATGTAAACAGCATGAGCGCTGACACGCACACACATATACTTGTGTACTTGTATGTATGTGTGTGTGTGTGTGTGTGTGTGTGTGTGTGTGTGTGTGTGTGTGCGCTCAATCTCATTCTTCAGTGAGTGCTTCCTTTTGAGCAGACCACACCCGAAGCCTTACATGTCATCTGGTGAACACTGACGACTTTTTGATGTCAAACGTACAGCTGGGCAGTAAATGTGACAAATAAGGTAATATAGTGACACACACAAAACCTAAAACAACCCACTGAAAGCTAAGATTGACAAATGATATGATCTTATCAGTGATGACTCCTTTTTAATAACTACCTTCACAACCTTTCTTTTGGTGTCTCTCTTATGTACCTCCAGTGTATGCAACTGAACATCATTTGACTGGCTGAAGTCACTGGAGCTCAGAGGAGAAGAGGAAATGTTTTCGAGCTACAGTTGTTGTTACGGCCTCTGAAACAAAGCTACAATACACTTTGTGTTTGTTTTCAGAATAGTGTGGACAAAGACACCCTGACCTTTCAGACTGTGCAGGACAGCGAGCTGTTGCGTGTTCCCATCAAACCACACAAAAGAGTCTGAGAAACTTAAAAACCTGATAATTATCCTTCATGTTTCTGTATTCACTTCTCTGATTCCTGATTGTGCAATATATATCTGTGGCTGAGGGTTCAAACGTTGTCTAATTTGTCTCTTTAATTTCCCCTTTTCATTATGACATGATGTGTAGTTGGTTTACACATGGATGTAGCTTGTGCTTTCTGAGTGCCTTGTATGCAAGGCTCCTACAGACATGTTTTTTAATGCCACTTGGAATGAAATTTAAGACCAATTTTTGTCACCATACTCAGACACCACAGTACCTCTGCTTTCTATACAGTCAAATGTTTGGAGATCTGTCGCTGCTGACCCCGGTGCTGGTATCGGAGAAGGGGGTGGAAACGTGGCAGAGAAAAGGGTAGAACAGAACTGGGAAATATCTGGCACTTGATGGTTGGCTTTGTGTTTGTCACTCTGTATGTGGGATTCCATTCCCCTGATTTCCATTGTTGTAGAGATTGAAAAACTTTTGGCAAAAATTACACCATGCCTTGTATGCATTGTCTTGTACTGGTTTCAGTCACGCTGCGATATCTCGGTTATTTTTGCTGAACTTCTGCACTTCCCCACGTCTCCCATGGTACAGTGACTGAGCAGAAGCCCAACTGTCTGCTAGCTAGCTGAAAATCCCGGCTAGAAACGAAGTAGGAGTGTTGCTGGTTCCACTATCATAATCTGTGTGACGTTTATGCGAGTATTTAGTAAATTATTCATAAAAATATGTCACCAATTATTGAGATTTTACAATGCAAAGTCAGTAAAAACAATGATAAAATCCTCCTCCCTATGTCTTAGCATTTGTAACACTTTTTGAAAGTTCAAGACATTTTAATAGCAGGTAAGGCCTTATTTTCAGATTAAATACCTCAATGCCTTTTAAGACTTTCTATGGATGTGCAGGAACCCTTTGTCTGTATTTTTGTATCTTGCTGCGCAAAGCACTGTGGCACCCCCATTGACACTGTCTAAATGTGTTACATTAGCGCATATCTTGGATTATTATCTCTGTACATTGCACATATTTGCTGTGCTGTGAACTTTTGCAGATCCCCTGATAAGAATTTTTGAGCATCCTGCACAAAACTATACTGCTTTCTCATCCTGAAACAGCTTTATTGCACACATTTGTTATGTTACAGTATTTTTTAAAGCACTGGTTCCCAACTGTCGGGTCGTGTTCCATTCTGAATTAACCGTAAGTGACTCACAAACACTTCAAGTTTGTAAAAAACACACTTTATTTTTAAGTGCAGTGAATTTCCAGCACAGAGTTTTTATCTTGAAGTGCTGCATCCTGCTACAGAATGAGTGAATAACGGAGAGCAACTTAACAGAGACAGCAAACTAGCTTGGCGACATGGCCAAATGCAAATATAATGCTGAATATTTTAAACTGTGCGGACCTTGAACTAATAACTAAGGACAAATCTGGATCCTGTGACTGGACCAGTTGGGAACCACTGTTTAAAATTAACTTCTTCATATTTTAATTGCTATGTTTCTATTTTATATTTATGTTCTTGAGTGTTACAGTTATTTCCTTTAAATATGTTTATTGCATGTTTAATGTGTGCACCGAAGCCCAAAGCAAATTCCTTGTCAATAAACCTATTTGGTGATGAATCTTATTGTGATCCAACTGGATCAGGCCTCACCTGACTGTCAGGGAATCTTGGTACTCACCGGACAAGTAAGTGTTGACCTACGGAGCCGTTTTCTGTGATCACTTCATTCAGTCGCATCTCCAAATGGACTTTACCCTGTTGAACATGAGAAGAGGAGAGTGGCCGGTGAGAAGTTATACATTACTAAAAACATCTCACTCTTACATTAAAGCACATTTCACCAAAAAGAAGTTTCAAATTGAATCCCAAGTCAATATGTGGGTTGTAAAAAGAGATAGAAATGTAGGCTGCAGTAAAACTCCTCCACCTAACCACTAATATTTATTTTTTATTTCATTAACTTATTTAACCAGAAGTCCCACTGAGATTGAAAATCTCTTTTTAGACCTGGCCGAGGTAGCAGCCAATCAGAACACATTCAAAATCCACAATAAAACAGCAACTATTCAAACATAGTGGACTCTTGAGAAAAACAAGCACATGTCTCTGTCACCACATTCTTTATGATGCCCTTATATTCATCAATGGATATAAGTTATTCTAATTTTAGATCTTTATCTAAAGGTGCAGAATAGGAGAAAGCAGTTTCCCCCAGATCTGTTAAAACGCCGGGGTACATTAAAAAGCACCCACTTGGAGTAGCGTAGCTGGTAACTACCTGAGCTGACACACAGAAGGGTGCAGAGGTAGGCCGGAAGTTTGCCCAACATTGCTTTATAGATAAAACTATACCAGTGCTGTTGTCGGCGCGTAGACAATGACATCCAACCCACCCAATCATAAAGAACGCAGTGATAAGTGAGGGACTTTGCATGTGTAATAAAACGTAGAGACGCATGGTAAAATGGAAGAGGCTGCATGGTTTTTCTTAGCACTGAAAGTAAAACAAGATTTATTTCTAAAATAAAAGGCAGTGTTCACTTTAAACTTCCTAACTAGAGTGGCAATATGTACATTTAATGAAAGTTTGTCAGCTATCCTACCCTATTTCACTTAATATATGTGCACATATTTTCACTGCATTTTGTTTGAAACAGGTTGCCCATTTCCCTCTCTGTCTTTTTGTCCTTGTCCCAGACATGTGGCCCGGCTCAACCTCATGTTTCATGTTGTTTTAGGTTAATGGAGGTGCCATGTGTGACAAGAACTACAGCAGCTGTGAATTTTGTCATCACTCATAAAAGATCTTTACGGGGTCGGATGTGGTGAAGGCTGCCGGTCTCGCCTTCGGAAGTGTCAGAGAGAGAGAGAGAGAGAGAGAGAGTGAGAGAGAGTGAGAGAGATAGAGAGCTAGAGAGGAAGAGAGAGAGAAAGGACTAAACAAAACGCCCACACACTTGCACTCTGTCTCTGCAATTCAGCACTTGGCTGAGATGGCGAGTAGTTCTGATGCAAGATAGGCCTTTAAGCCAATATAATACTTACTACTTTGCAAAGATCTAAGTGTGCAAATATCATCATTAAAAGGGGGGATAGGTGGTTGTAATGTGAGTGTTAATTTGCTGAATAATAAATGTGGTCAAAAAAAGTGTGTATTGTTTGTCCTCCTGTGCTGTTTTCTTTATTAACCGAGCTGGTTCACAGTGAAATAAAAGCTGCTCACAGGGTACATACACAGCCTCTGTTTGACTACAAACCAAGCCGGAGAGGCATTGCAATAACACCTCCATCACTCACTGATGTAACTTTGCAGTTGAAAGTGTCTACTTGTGAGTGAATCAGTGTAGCAGCACATACCCAGAATAGTCTGGCGTGGGCTAATGGCAGCTAGAGTCAACACGTTAGCTACAGCAGCACAGAAGTGGTAGTGTGCTGTAGTTTCAGCCAACACAACCAGACCACAAAAACTATCTGATCAAAGAAATGTACAGTTGAAATAGAACAACCCACACACATGCCCTATATGTGACAGAAACAAGAGCTGCACACTGAAAAAGAGATCAATAAGATGCTGAAAGGCAAAAAAAGGACCGTTGTAACACATGCAACATACATAGGACCGAAAACACCTCATAAGTCAAGACTATAGCTGTAGTATCGTAATAATTAACAAATGCTACAGACAGCTGCAGTCAACTTTACAAGTATCTGGGCCGAATTCACAAAGAATGAACTGCGGCCGCTGATAGCACCTTGAATTGCACTTCATTTGCACCCGCAGTTTGCTCCATCTTAACGTCCTATTCACAAAGGATATTGCGCTAATGATATACCAGCTGAGTGCAGTTTGCCCCTGATTTCCCCCTGATTGCAATAAGCCACACATGGCAAAGTTTAAATGCTGGCTTTGCGCCAAGAACACCGTGGCAGAACAATGGCAGACTTTGTTTGGCAAAGTACTGAATACTGTATACCCTCATGTAGTGACGTCTGCTGGTGAGTCAGTCTAACAGTGTCGGATGGGTTGAGGCTGTGGATTTGACAAAGTTTGACCACTTTATCACTATTCCCTCTCACTTGTAGCTGTTTTTTCATTATCTTTTCAATTTAATATGAATTATGGAACCGTTTTTGTTCGCGTTTGTTTCCCCCGTTTTGTAAAAGAAATTATTGAAAGTTGCTTTTGAAGTGTGTGACACAAGTGCGTTTTGAGAACGACCACAGACTGTCACCTGTTCAACGCATCAATATCTTCGGATGCCATTAAAGTAATAATGATTAAATAATAATGTCAAAATATTATTTACAGACTGATTTAACAGATGATCACTGCTGCCACGATCACTGGAAAGTCTGGGTGAGAGGCTTCCACAGAGGAGGGCCCAGTTTGCACCAGCTTTCTAAAGACGCAATTTTTCTGCCAAATATATGCATATTACCTCATTTAAATATGTGCAAATAACACCGGAGCACCGAGACACAATCTGCTTGGCAGTGCAATTAGTGGAGCATTTCACCCTCTGCACGTGCTTTGTGAATTAGACGGTATCTGTTTGCTCCATTTTTACCGGTTTAGCGGCCGCAAAAGCCACACAATCCTTTTGTGAATTCGGCCCTCTGTCTTTATTTTAAAATGTTCAAATAATCATGGGAAACTTGTAACTTGCCTTGTAACACTTCAGAATATTTCCTGTTGGGCTTCCAGCAGACTGACATACTGGTTGTATAAACAATAAATTTAGGATTCTGGATTTAGGCAGAATGCAAATTATAAGCAACCATCTTGTATACAGTTGCATTGAAAGACCAGCTACATTAGCATGATAAAAAAAGATGCAAGTGATTTGGTGACTTTAAGGATTTTAGCCAGACTTTTGAAACACAACACGAAAGTCCAGATTTATAGGTTTTGTTCAAATTTAAATCTGTCAGGTGGTAAAAATAATGACTTTCAAAACAATAACACTGATCTATCGATTTACTATAGTGGTGTTTTTCTCAATAATGTCCAAATCTCATCTTGCGCAGGACGGTCATGGCGTTTTCACCACACACACCAATTTGCAACCAGCTCCATCACAAACCTGTTAGATATCCTCTGGGATTCTTGTTTAAAAGTCAAGAAGTCTAAAACATGTTTTACTTCCTTTATGTCGTGACAATAAGAGCCTGCCAAAATCTTTCCAAATTAAGTCTGACATATTGAATTTAATTTTCCTGCAACCAGACGGCTGTGATACTTGCATTCAGTTTTTGAGCGGGGGCTGACCGTGGCAGTCAACTGTTGAGCCCAAAACAAAAAAAAAAAACATACACACACACACGCATTTTAGCACCATTTTGGAAATAATCTCGACCCATATTAATATTAACACATATCACATAACCATTCATGAGCACTGGACATGTGTGTGTCGATATAAACAGGAAGAAGAGATGGTGAAAAGTAACACCAGAGAGTTCTTCTCTTTGACCAACATGAGGTTTGTTAATGAAAGTAACACGAGTATAAGGCGGTCGAGGTGTCAGAAAACACATTGGTAGTCATTTTGAAGAAAATACGGTAACATATTATCATGGTTCCGGCCGGGAGCATTATCCATCACCAGAGGAAGCCATGGCAACGGGAAAGGAGTACCGGAACAAGAAGGATAAAATCACAAAAGGTGCGTAGACCTAGCTATTATGTTTTGGCTTGACAAGCTGTGACTGCTAAGACCTAATCAGGAAACGAACTTGTGTCTGGTCATCATCATCGTCGTCTAAAAGTCTCTGTTTCACCCGTACAGACGCAAACACAACCCCAGAGTTTTCAAACTAAAACAGGATCAGCAGAATTTTAAAAGCTCTCTGTTTTAGGGGCTCAAAAACGCCAGGCTCCGGAGAAGTATGCATTTTAAAACGAAAACGTTTTTGTGTAGATGGAGTCCCTGGTTTTCGACCAGTTAAAACACGCAGCCTGGACAGAGACTATTATTAAACTGTACTTTCACATGGAAATAATCTTATCTGTATGCAAATCTTAGTCCACATGCAGGTGAATGTTCTGCTTGTTGTGTTGGGGCGCTGAAACATGTGAAAGCGTGCCTCCCCTGAGCCTGAAGTGAGCGGTGCAATCTCATTATCAGCAAGTTTAGTGGCAACTTGCAAGCATGTCTAATTTAAAGACAAAAATTATATTTATTACATTAAATTCAGGATGAGACATGCTATAAGTTGGATGGCAAATTTTTAAACCACATTTGTGAATCATCAAAACATTTAACTTTTGCAAAAAATTACCTGAACTTCTGAGTTAGGATCTACTGGATGAAGGCTAAACCAGTGCTCCTTGCCACTGTATTTACACAGGTCATCCTTCCGGATTGACACCTTGCCTGTAAAGACACAAACACACACACACACACACACACACACACATTAAACTACAACTCGTCCACTCCGATTTGAAAACACACTGCCTTACTGAATGCAACTTACCAACAGGTAGCTCCCTTTGGAAAACGCTCTTGGCATAAACATAGAAGGATAAACACTGAAATGGACGTGGGATCTCAAAGTAGAAGTCCTCTCCGTAGAAAGGGCTGTAAATAAAGGCAGAGGTTTAAATTAGCACACGAGGTTGAATCTAATGTGGAAAAAGGCAGTGTGAGAGAACATGACCAAGAGTGTGTGTAGTAGGTGGCTTAATTTGTGATGAACTGTAGACAGATTAGTGGCTATAGCCCGATTTGAGCCATGACACACATGTCAGCTTAATTAATGATTTGTTAAGACTGACGTTTGACTTCTTGACTGTGTGCAACACCAGCGTTATCTGATTTTAAACGCTTAGCCGAAAACACCTTTTTGAATGTCTCTGTGGTAAATAAAAATAAAATCATTTTGTATAAATTCATAAATTTGTATAAATTCATTTTGTGTTTTATTGAGTCAAAAGTCTTATTCACTTAAAACAAGTCATTTGCTAACAATACAAATAAACCTTCTTAAGATTAGGATGTTTTAATGCGTATGTGAGAACAGGCATCTACACCATGAGCGACAGGAAGACCTCATGATACCAAGATTTCTCTCTGCCCTCTGCATGGGGAAAATGCATTGTACACCGTTATAACTCCTCTTTCAAGTTGAACCTTGACTCCTTGCAGATAACCTGGTCCCACCACATCAACGTCTGCGGCTCAACCAGGTCTGCAGTACTTTGTCATTTATAAGCTGCAAACGGCAGCTACTATTATAAAGTAATGTGAGTGATGTCAACAGTATTAAATGGCTTGAGTGTTGCTGCATGCTACAAACTGTTAGTCACTTCTTGTACTTTATATGTGTCATTTCCTCAGCTACATCTTTGCCGTCCACCTGACCTAATTCTGTACTCTAAAATCCTGTGATCAGTAAATCAACTGCCTCATGTAATGTACAGCTGTTGGGTTATAACGATCATGTACTGTGATACATGGTTGTTTCATGGCCCAGATTATGTAGGAAAAAAACGGACAATCACTGAAATAACTTGGTGTTATCAGCAGACATTATCACATTTGAGCAGAGCTATCATAAGCACAGGATTTGTTAATTTCCTGGGAAATGAACCGTCTGAGCAGAAGGTGGACAACACAGGGTGCCCTTATGACTCATCGAGTTTGTGGGGAATGTTCTCGCTATGTTGTGGGTTTAAATCTGTCACTTTTGCCATCCATTCTCTCGTAAAACTGTCTTGTCATTTCCTTAATATGCAGCTGAACGGTGTACAAACCCCGCAACAATAATCTGTGAAGATGTTTTTGTACAATATTGCTCTACGCTCACCAAATTAAATGGGAAAATTACTAAATGGGATGAGTAAAATATCTGGAATGTGACAAAGATATCTGGAGAGTAAAATAAAAGATTTAGGCAGATAATACAGCTAAAAGCCAACTAAGGAAAGCTTTTATTCTACCAGTGACGGGTCCTTCCACTAGTAACAATAAAAATCCATCCGCTATACCTACTAATACTGTTTAATGTCATATGTGAACTTTCAGTGGAATTATTTTGTGAGGACATCAGGCTGGCAAATTAATGATTCTAAGCAAACTCTATTTAAAAGTGAATACAAGATGTTGTTGAAATTTTTGCACTGAACAGAAATTTGATTATGTAATATTAATAATTAAGCATGTATTTGTTGTCATGATATTTATCAATATCATGAAAATATTCTTTAGGGTTTCTACATTTTTTCATGAGTAAAATTCAAGCACTTTTCAAGCACTTTCAAGGTGTATTTCCAGCACCTTACACCTGTGGTAAATTACACATTTATATACAATATATACACTTAGTGGCCACTTTATTAGGTACACCTGGGTACTCGATACCTCTCAGGTACTGACCAAAAAAACTCCAAGTGGTACTGAAACTGCTCCAGTCAAATGATACCTGGATTTGATCGTTTTATACCCAGATCTAGAAAAAATACTATTTATATGTTATATTTTTGTATCTTGTGTTGCTCTCAGACAGTCACTACAAGCGCAATTTAACGTGACATGTGATTGGCTCACTACTGTAGCAGCTACCACCCATATAGTCTGTGGTGTGGTGAAATTGAGCATGGCGTATTTATAGAGTTGGAAGTTCAGCGTGCCAAGATGCCACCAAAACATTTAAAAGTACGGCTATACTACATGCCTGTGGTGTCTGGTGGCATCTTACGTAACTGAATGCTTCAATTTACGTGATGGGTATCGAAAAAAGTAGTCTATTGGCATGGGTACCACTTTAAAAGGTATTGGTACCCAGCCCTAGGTACACCTGTGCAATCTAGTCGTACAATCTGACTAATTTTATTTCTATATCTAAAAGCAAATTATTCCACCAGATAGTAATTTATTCTGAAAGTAATAATTTCAAGCCCTTACGAGCACTTTATTTAAACTCCAAGCACTTTTTACATCTTGGAAATACTACAGTAAAATTCAGCTGATTTCAAGGATGATTCTTATCAATACTGTGTTCAGCAATATCATCAAGCCCTAGCGAAAGGTCGGGTACAACCTACATTACCACCTACAAATTTGGGGTTTCCAGTCTACCCGACACCTGCATGACTTTAAACTGTGGGAAGAAATATGGAAGAAACCCATGCAGACACGAGGAGAACATACACACCTCTATTATTAAAACAGCATGTGCTACAATAACGTATGGCTCAGCAGCAAAGTGTTTAAATCTCTTGGGTTCAGCTTGGGACCTACTGCCCTGTAGGAGCTGGCACATACACAGAGGGCTCAAGCATCTGTGCCACTCCGTCCTGCCAACATGACTACCTCACGACCAACACCGCGAGGTAGACAGCTTGATCTGACACAGCCAATTGTAGGTTAAGCACTACCTCGACATACGTGCTGCCAGCAGATGGACCACCTGTCCCAAACAGACTGAACAGTACTTACACAGTTGTACTGGATTAACTGCTCATATGTTCAAGTCCGACTGCAATCCCTGTCTTTAAAATGTATTTTACGAATCACCTTCGGCCAGTTCAGTTGACGTTTGAGGGCATAAATTAAACATTAATGTAGCTTCATATTACAGAGTTTTCCTGCTGGGGATCAATAAAGGTGCATCTTAAAGTAATGGGCAGCTGGCATATAAACAACTTGGTAGACACTTGTGTGATGTGTGTCAACCAGTTTAAAAGAAGAACTTGAAGGAGTGCCAGTCAGACATGTCTGTCAAACATTACTGGAGTTTATGGCTCATGTGCCTTAATGAATTATACTTTACAATTCCACTTCAGTTTTTAAAAGAAAATCAATGGGGACCTGGAAATTAGCCTTGTAAACACACATATCTGTGTAAATATTTACTCCTAGTATTGAGCTAACCTGGCCCTGTAACTTGTAAATCCCCGCACTGATGCCTCCCTCTACCATTTATACATCTTGGACGGTGATACATCTTGCCTGACACTTCCGCACTGGGTTTGGCCAACAGATCCAGTGTACACCCACACATCCTCCTCAACATCACATGGATTTAAGCACTTGTAACCTTCCTATTCAACACACACTCAAACGTACACCCACTATACTACCGTCCTTTCTTTTGTCACCCTTGCTTCTAAATAACATGAGAATGCTCGGTAGCTCCACTTGACCACAACTGTGTGAACATGACTGCTTTATCCAAGGGATTAGCTGCAATTAGAGCTTCCACACAGCCTTTAAACCAATAGAAACAGGAGCCCATGCAACAGGCATGAGTCAAGCGTCATGAAATAAATTACAAGGAAAAAAAACAAAAAAAACACAGCGGGCAAAATCTGAGTGATTATTGAGATGTGCTAAACAGAGGCTAAGGTAGTTGAGAGTGACACAGAGAGAAAGGCAGGGGAGAGCGTGGGAGGACACACTTCCTCAGAGACTGTAAAATCCTTTTGAACGGCACCGAAATCAGGAGAGGGAGGGAAAAAAAACGAGCTGTTGTGAAATACCTCGAGAAGGCAGGCCCATGTTTACAGTGAGATGTGCAATGATGTAGCTAGAAACCGAAAAAGGTTTCCTGGTGCCCATCTCCCACACCTTTCTCTGAACCGCATAGCTTTTGGTAAAATAGCTCATTTCAATCTGAATCACTTCATGTTTCCCAGCTACAATGGTACCCTGCACACATACAGCTCTGAGTCACTTATTAACAGTTTGTAAGATGTAATCAAGTGACTGAATTTCAAACCGGACATTTCTCACATGATCAGCCTGCAACAAACAGAAACCGTCCGGAGTTTAGCATAACTGCTTCCACATGAGAGATTTTCTCAACATGTTATTTCTGTTTTCTTTTAGCTTTGCTTTGACTTCAGGCCTTAACACACTGTAAATTACACAAAGAATAACAACAGCCAGGAGTAATATAATCAATCCATATGAGCATGAATTAATCATCATCGTTCCTGAAACAAAATGTTGCACATTATCTTGGTATTTGTTTCTGTAACAAGAGATATGGGATACATTTACAGGAAAAACCCAGTGTTAGGTGGGGTTATCTTGCTCTTTCCTCGCCCTATCAAACAGATTCACATCTTCCTACATTCAAATGAATAAAGCTGAAATACATGATTATTTCCATAAATTGAGAAATGACAAATGACATCTGAAGTTCCAGCCGATAAACAGTCAACAACTACAAAGCTTTTGATACACATTACACAGTATAATATATATGGGACTGGATTGTAAATGACACATCCGATACCTCAGAGAAGGTTCACTGCTCAAAAATGAACTCTAAGAAGACAATGACACAAATAACACACCGAACCCGAAACTTGTCCCGCATATAAACAGAGGTATGTTTGGATTTCTTGTATAGCCAACACAACTTGCTATAGATGAGGTGTGCAATGACTTGACATGACAAAACCCAAGACACCGAAACACTGTACACAATCATTTCTCCTCCTTCTGAGTCACTCTGAGCTCTGAGTATCACACTGTCTGGGAAACAAACCATTGAATACTTTAATTCCACTCATAATATTCAACTACACTATTGGTGTGGACCTGATGTAAATTATAAGCGTGTGAATGTACACTTCATACTTTTAAAAAACCTCTACTATTTTGTACTAGCCAGATAGATTTTAATATCTTACTGCCATCTTTTTTACTTCTCTTTATTTGCCAAATAAAGTAGTATTTAGTTTGCCATAGGGTTGGGAAATACATTGATAATATACTGATACTGTGATATTTGAAAAGACACTGGACACTACATTTTCTCTGCTTCATTAATTATATCATTGTTGTCGCACAATTAAAAAATGTCGTATCAACGGTGGCTGGTGGACCATCCACAACAAATACCAACATGCATATTTGTGATAAATACATGATATTATACTAAAGGTATTTTCCCTAAATTTATAAATAATGTTACAAAGTACTGTGTGGCTGTTTGTGTTGTGATGCTCTGCTAAGAATAAACATATTAACATTGTACTGGCAGATGGACAAGGTGAGTGAGAGCAGCACGACTGCAACCTGCAAATGCAAGTAATTCTGTAAATTTGTTTTACCAGTCAGTCATGTAATAACTTGTGAATTTAAGGTGTAACGATACACATAATGCCATTATGGCACAAATCACGGCTTGTACTGAGCAGGCTCGCTAACATTAGCTAGCGTTAGCCTTCTTTTTAAGCCTACAGTAATGTTAAACACGAGAGAAAATCAACTGCAAGTTAATTTTACTCTCTTCAGGATAGACAACTACACATTAGATGCACAGTTTATTACATGGCTAAGAAACTGGTAAAACAAACTTCAACATGTCATCATAAGTTAAACATGTACAACAGGTTGCAATCGAACTCTCTCCTCTCAATCATCCCTGTATCTGTCACATGCAGTCCGTCCACACCTTCAGCGTGATGCAGGATGGGGTTTTGCGCTTGGTTAGTGATCATCAGTTGTACACTACTTTTCACTATGCATTGTGGGATACTTTGAGTCCACTATATAGGGTATAATAATTCCCACTATACATTCAGACAGCTCCACAATATGACTATATGGGAAGTGATTTCAGACATAACCATCATCATAGATTTTTGATTTCATAATATCATGAATGTTGTCTTTTCCTGGTTTTGAAGGCTGTGACAAAGTAAAGTGATGTAACTCTTGGGAACTCACTGAACTGTTCTAGCTGCTCGATTATTTTCCTTTTACCACTCTGTCATCATGTGCACATTACTGATGATCATTTATTAAATATCTCATCGTATAAATATTCTGTGAAAGCAACAATAGCGAACCCTTCAATATCGATAGAGGTATTTAGTCAAAAACACTGTGATACTGACTTTACTCTATATCGCCAAAGCCCTCGTTTGCCAAACTACCATCCAGCTACTACTTTTAAGAAAGATATGAAAGGCTCACCATCAGAGCAAATAATAAATAGAGTGGCTTTGCTACATTAAAATTAAAATATATACACCTTTAATACTGTTTAGACACTGACCACCACCTTGAAAGAGAAATTTTGCACATCCTTATCATGATGCAATTTCATGTAACCAAAGTATACATGGTGTAACTTGGTATTTATGAAATGTAATAAAAGTGTAATGTTTTAAAGTTGACCGTTTGCTGCATTGTTAACATAACCAACACCTTCCTGTGCAGTAACAGCTATTAAACTGCAGCACCAACTGGAAATAACACAGGGAGAGGACGCAGGGGTAATCTGGCTTACCTGACGCTTTTGTCAAACACCTTGGTGCGGAACACCTCCTCCTGATCCAGACTTATGGTGCAAAAGGTGCAGAGATCCCTTTGTCGGTTTGGACCTGAGACAGGACCTAGGTTCTTAGCTTCACCTGCAGCACAAAGAGAAGAACATCATTACTATCTCAACTAGCATCAAAACAACAGCAGTCTTTCCCAATTTAAAGTACAATTCAGTACGTGTACATTGTCTTTGACACATCTTTCTCTATACCTCCTTCCAGTGTACAATTTAATTTTACTGCTCGACTGAAACGTGAACTAAATGACATGTTAACAAACCTTTAAAAGATTCTGAAAACATGGGCATCTAATAAGTCTCAAATCTTGTGAAAAAGAATTACTCTGCTAATCTGTTGTAATACACAAATGACAAGCCTGGAGTTAAGCTAAAAATGTTTTGGTTTTTTTTTAAGTTCCTGCTGCTAATGTTCATCAAAAAAGGAAAGGAAATGTCCTGTTATGACAGTAAAGGTTACATACAATGAAGCTGACTCAGTACAAGCTAATCTTAATCAATAAACGCACATGTGATTGCAATCATACACAGTTCACTTTTACATCCTCATGTTCGTATGGGGACATTGGCTCTTGCCAGTTGTTTGGGCAAGCTGCAGAGCGGATGTAGCTGAAGTAGACTTGAGGCTCATATGTGGTTAAAAACATGAAACACTGACTTCCTCAGGATAACCAATGACGATGGTACAGCGCTGATTCACAAATGACAAACACCTTTGTAACAAACACCACATGCGCACACTTCCATTACATTGCAGGCAGGCCCAGAATACATGCCATGTGGTTTTGTGCAACACATACATAAAAAAAATGCCCCAAATCAAAGCCAGATAAGTTTCACTTGAACTGTCAGAGCAGCTAAATGGCAGTCACTCAAACACAGCACTATCAATAACCTCACAATGGATCCCATTTAAACCTGTGGATTACAAGGGCAGTAGTCTAAAGTGGTCCTCTAGCTTTGGACAGGTACCATAAGCCCAGGTGAAGACCTAATTAAGAAAAGCCACTGGTGAGATCAGCTTTTTAACAGGCTATTAATAATTGTGTATGGCTAATCTTAGGAACAGCTAGTAAAAACAGCCAAGTTGTCACTAAGCTTGGACCAGGATGACCTGGTGGGAGTAGAGCGCACAAGCACATATGCACGCAGATACAAACATATACAGTGGGCCAACCTACCCTACTACCATGTCTTCTCAATAACATTTCAATGAAGCATGTCACCCTGTGAAAACCATGACTGAAAGGTCAGAAAGTACACCTTAACAACACCTTACTAAGCTTCATACTGTTGAGTCAACTGGCCTTTTCCTGATTTTAATCTGAAAATGAAGCAAACAAGGGCATAAATCAAAGTATAATGGCCATCTAAAACCTGCTGTGACAATACATCTTTACAGAATGCCACCTCAATTGATGTAGGCTAAAGGAAAAATGACAAAGTGTGAACGAGGAAGAATGGAGTTTCGTAAGACTGCAAAGTGAGTTACATGCCACGATAGTTCCTCTATTTTGTTCTGCTTACTGTTTTCTCATTAATTCATAGTAGTGAAACTGACATTTGTCTTTTTATTGTGTCCCTATGCACACAGGCCTCACATACTAGTTAGCCTGTATTCACCTTACAGTAAACATGTACAGTAAGGTCAGACTTTGAGGCAGTCATTAGCTCGTCATGATATGGGCTACGCCTATTTTAGAAACAGAAGATGTTGCCCAAGCACATATTCAAATGATGCTCACACACATGTTACATATTAAAAATAATAATAACAATCAGTGGGATTATTCAAGAAAAACTCTGCTCTAAACTGACCACACTGTATTTAACTTTCCCCGCTGAGATCAAGCAATACCACTGGGGCAAATTAAATCCCAACCATAATCAATTACCTCAAACACCAATACAAGGAGGATGGTGCAGACTAATGGATGTGTGTTAATACTAATGGTTGTGTGTTAATCTGCTGCAGCATATCTGTGAGTAAAAGTACATAATGGGAACCAGTACAGCTTGAGTAATCTGAATCTCTAAACGCTGGTAATGGCTGAATCTTTTGAAGAGCAGCCACACACATCTTGAAGTTGAATAATTTGGCAAAAGAAAGGAAAAATACACATTCAAGCAGGCGCACAGGCTCCTGGCAGGTACTCCACCGAGGATCAGCCAAGCCTGTGCGGGAGGATGAGGAAACTGGCCTGTGAAGTATTTGACATTAAAGCCAACGTTTCCGATTTGGACTCTTATCACATGCATGACTAGTGTATTACTATACTATGGCTGCAGGCAAGGCAGCTAACTCATTCCTACAGATGCTTTAATCATTCATGGAGTGTTAAATGATGAGACATGATAATTGCATTTAATTGATTCTTGATTAATGCCTCAGCAGGCAGGTCAGAGAGCAAACAGTGAGGATTTAGAGACCTGCTGAAAGGACTTGAAGTCATCACCCATCAGTCAACATAGCACTGTGACATAATGTGCAATGATTGGCATTGGTTAGCAAGATATAACGTTAGGTTGGGTGCCAATGCTAACGTTTAACTCCATAGAGTAAATGCTGCTTGACGCCTTATTTAAAATGCGTTTGTGTTGTCGCTGAAAATATGGATATTACCTAACATTAGCTAAGTTACCCGACTGTCAGATGCCTGCAGGACTAACGTTATAGCTGATAGGGTTAACGTTAGTGACTGAAGCGGTTGGTAGTAGCTAGCCTACTTTGCCACCATCGCTACCTTAGCTTACAGGGCACACGAAACGCCCAAATTTTAAAAACTTCAACATTTCTAACACACGTAAAACACCCAGTATGCCAGACCAGGCTAAGTGGCGGCCGCGGAGCCCTGCTCGATGAATGAAATCATTCACAACAAGCTGCTAGCCGCAGCTAGCATGCTAGGCTAACTTGACGTTAGGCACCAGCCAGCAGCCCGACCAGATGAACTGGCTGCCGCTGCCTCCACACTGTCGACTGTTGATGGCACTGGCACGCCGCGCCCCTCCGGCTTCCCCTCTCGCCGCTCGCCTGTTACACCGACCTCTCTCCCCCCCTGTGAGAGACGGAAAACATCGGCTCGCCAGTGAGACTTACATATTTTACCCCTCAGGCTCTGTAAAATCCGAATCTTCGCGTCGTCCTCTTCCGCCATGGTGAGAGCTGACTGTTGTCGCTGCTCCGGTGCATTCAGCGCTGGTTTATCATATCCGTTTATGAATGCAAGCAGAGTGGAGGAAAGCCAGCCCCACTGCCGCGTCACGTCAGGTCCCGTACACACTGGTGCCTCAAAACGTTTGGAGAAACACCGAGCTTCCTCAAAAGTCGAGTCTTACTTTGGGTAGCGCTTCAGTCTGAAGATGGTAGGAGCCTTTACAGGGGGATTTAAAGTCTCTCCGCTCTGCTGCTCATTATGCAAGGACGGAGAACTGATACTTTGACTTGTGGGGCTAGTTAGCTTAGCGAGCTAATCTACTTTACACACCAGTGCATTAGGTTAACCCTGTGTGACATGCCTGGGTCACACACATGGAAGTTTGTCATCAAATTTCTGAGGTTTTAGGAGTGGTGAGGACATTTTCAAATTAAAAGATTGTGCAGAAAGAAATCCACAATGCTCTAATATATACATTAATTAAAATAAATGTACAAAAATAACATTAAGATGGAGACTGACCTGCTTATAATTCACACAAACATCACAGCTAGCTACTCTTATATGTGTCTGGCACTGTTAGAAAAGTTAGCCGGCCAATAACCAATAGCCAATTTAGAATTCAACAATAGAGTAAGTTAAGTGACTCTCAAACTATATAGTTAAGAAACAGCAGTTTACTACTAGCTGTGGTATCATGTTACCAGCAAATGATGTCAGTATGCATTGAAATAACAGTAGTTTCATACATTTCTGTAAAGCACATCCAGTAATGTTTTACTTTCAATATCGTTTTCATTGAACAGATTCTTATACACGACCGAGGTTGTGTTTTACCTGGGTTACAGATTTTAGCAGGATAATTTATTGAAAAATGATGTCATCATTGAATGAATGCCCATTTCATAATAAGATGGCCATTTATTTTATTCCGTTATCTGCTTTGGATGAAAACATGACAGACATCTTGTGTTCTCTTCCTCTTTCCAGGCGATGGTGCTTGAGGTTTGGTGAAAACAATGGTCTGATCCTCAGCGTTGGTGGAAGCAGGGAGCCTGAAAGGGCAGTCAGGTATGCATTATAACTTTCAATTTCTATGTATCATCTCCTGTAAACAGGTAGCTCACACAGGGCTGGCTGATATGGAGAAAAACAAATATGATTTTTGTGGGACCAAATGCCTCAATATATATACATACACCGATCGGCCAAAACATTAAAACCACTGGTGGGTGAAGTGAATGACATTGATCATCTTGTTACAGTTAAATGTTCTGCTGGGAACCCATTGGTCCTGGCATTCATGTGGATGCTACTTGATGCACTCCACCCACCCAAACACTGTTGCAGACCAAGTAAACCCCCTCATGGCACAGCACTTGTCAATGGCAGTGGCCCTCCAGCAGGACAACGCACCGTGCCACACCACAAAAACTGTCCCAAGGAACAGGACAAAGAGCTCAAGGCATCAACTTTGCCTCCAAATACCCTAGATCCCAATCTGATTGAACATTTGAAAGACATGCTGGTACCCCAGAGGTACCCCCGATCCACGGTCCTTGGACCAGAGTTGGATCTGATCTGTCAAGACACGGACACAGGACCTCTGGAGGGTGTCCTTTGGTATCTGGCATCGGGGCATTACCATCAGATTTATAAGTCCTGTGGGTTGTGAGGTGGGATACCAGCACGTCCTTCAGAGGTTTGATGGTTTAGGATCTGGGGAATTTGGAGGCCTGGTCTACACTTTGAGCTCTTTGTCACGGTTCTCGGGCCATTCCTGAGCAGGTTTTATGGTGTGGCATGGCGCATTGTTCTGCTGGGGGGCCACTGCTACTGGGGAGTTCTGTTCTGGAATGCACTGGTGTTTAGGTGGATGGAACATGTCAGGTGGCATCCACATGACTGTCAGAACCCAAGGTTTCCCAACAGAACATTGCACTGTAACAAGATGATCAATGTTGTTCACTTCACCTGTCAGTGGTGTAAATGTTTGGGCTGATCAGTGTATGTTGTGACAGTATTGTAGAGCTGACTATTGGTGCTTTCACAAAATATCTACACAATAAGATTTTTGGTAAATAATCATCAGTAAAGTGTATATAATGTCTAAGTGGGTAAACACAAATCATAGAACAGTGAGAACAGCTTGGTAAGTTTAGAAAATTACATCACTCTACTGTACTGCAGCCATTAAAACTAGAAAAGGGCAACAGTCGTGACATTACAATGTCCAAAATATAAGATGATATATAACATGATATAATGCCCAGCCCTAAGCTCACACTAATTCACAACACCTACATATTAATAACATCTAATTCATCTTTAAAACTGCACATTGGGCCACATGCAGCAACATTCTCTTAAATTTCTCTTATATTTTTGTTAAGAGGAAATATAAGAGAAGTTGACTCCAGATGCATCAAACATTCTTAGTTATCTAAATCTGCTCTTACCCAGGTGTCCTGAATGATGAATCCCACTTGATCATCGAGTAACCTATTGGTATAGGTAAGCTGTAGTGAAATTGACACACTGTTGAATAAAGTAAATGTGATTTTCCATAGTTTCAGTTCTGGTGTTACAGGAAAATCAAAATCCCAGAAACAACAAAACATGTCAGCAGCAGTGGAGGAAATATTCTGATCCTTTACCTAGGTAAAAGTACTAATACGACAATATCAAAATATTCAGTTACTAGTAAAAACCTTGCATTTAAGCAAAAGTATGTAAGTACAATCAGGAAAATGTATTTACATATTCAAAAGCAAAAGTACTCCTGCAGAAAAGTTTAAATAAATTTAATAAATTAAAAACACTTAAACAAAATAACAGGAAAAACAACAAGTCCTCGTGATTGAAAAGCAAGATCCATGAAATGTTTTGCATGAAAGAATGACAAAATGTTTGACAGTTAATTTTCTAATCAATCGAATAATCATGTCAGCTGCTTTTTATTTTCAATATTTGGTTTACGCACAAAAATCTTAATTTGTAAAGTAACTAAAGTAATCATATAGAAGTGGAGTAAAAGGTACAGTAATTCCCTCTGAAATGTGGTGGAGTCGAGGTACAAAGTGGCATGAGATTAAAACACTCAAGTATAAGTACCTCAAATATATATTTTATTACAGTACTTGAGTAAATGCACTTAGTTACATTCCAGTAGTGGTCAGCAGAGAGACACACACTAACACTGAGTATAATAGTATTTCTTTAGCCCTGAAATTTGTTAATCCAATTATTTTTATAACCCTGAAACTCAATAATCTAAATGTGATTAAATGATATTTGTATGAATGTTCCTCAGATTTAACACAGACCACAGTGCACAACTTGTGGACTTTGAAAACAAGATGTTCTTTGCAAGAGTGCCGTCGTAAAATTTTCTCTTACCTAAGAGCAAAAATAAGAAAACACTGGTAAATCCCCAAAGTCAGTGAGACCTAACAAAATAAGAACAAATTGTGGCTACTAACAGCGTTAAGAGAAAATTTGTTCATGTGTCATTTCTTGCGTGAGGTCCAGTGTCATACTGGACAAAATTATCCGCTGTTCACCATCAAGGTTTTGTGATATTCATCTTTAGTCAGATCAGGATTTTTACTTTAGTTATAGCGATATCAAGCAAATCTTTTTATTTGAAATCTTTTATTTAATGAGACCAGTAATACCTTTCTGAAGTGTTTTACTTACAGCACCAAAATATATAAAAACGAGTGATCATTATATCAAGTCCATGTCGGATTTGTATCTCTTGTTAAAGTACAGTAGTAGCTTTTGTACAATATAGTGAACTTGTGCATATGTTCCTCACTATACTACTACGATATAAAGATATCAGCTTCTACCGTCACACAGAAGACTGAGAGTCTAACAGGCTCGATTGAACAGGGTGAGGAACTCTTGTTTCTCAGTCTGTCAACCTGTTAAATCGGTGTATGGCTTCAAAGTAGCCCCAGTGTACCTGGGTCAAACACTGAATGTAACTGGAATGACTGATTTGTTTTTAATGTCTGATGTGATTTGTAGCATTTGTAGTAGGGTTTTTTCTTAGGTTAAATTATGTTGTAATTTTTAATCTTTTGTGTATCTATTTGAAACAGTTGACGCCCTGGGACACGAGAAAAAATTGAATTTTCTTGTAGTACAATGGCTCCTGATGCCATTAGCTCGTCTTACAGGTTATGAATGGAAAATAATTGAAACTGCTGTTCACATTTAATCTGGAATTGTTATCATCAGTGTTTCCAATTCGTAATCGTCCTTTATTAAATGAGTGAAAAATGATGCCTCTATGGCATAATCAGTGTGTTACGCTGTGCCTTACACCTCAAACTTATGATCCATCGGTTACATCACAAGTCCAGTCTTAGAAAGAGGCAAGGAATTTAGACTCTAAAATACAGATGCAGTTTGTGTGGAAGAACGAGGGAATGAACTTCTCAGATGGGCTCCAGGTCCCTGAAGGATCGGGAGGAGCAGATGACCTCCATGTGGCTTTATATTTAGGAAATTGTTTGCTGTGGAGCAGGTTTTGTACCAATGTGACTGTTTGAATTCTACTTTTTTCCCACTCCTCATTTTAGGGTTTGTGTAACTGTTCCCTTCCCATCAATATCAGAGAGTCAGTGAGTGTGCTTATCAGTCAGAGGTCACTGGATACTGTCATGGTCATGTGTTTGCTTGATCTCTAGCTAGGTCAAAGGAGGACAGGATCTAAGTGTTTAGAATATCAACAACATTTATTTAAATAGTTTTACATGTTTTATACATATTAAACACACAAAAGTAGTACCTTTAATCTCAAGGGTGCCATTTGTTAATTAGAAATTAGACTTATATGGTGCTTAGAACTGAAACTGAATTATCAAAGTATTTAACCAACAGATTAGCATAGTCTAACTATAAAGTGCAACTCACATAGCCAGTTAACTGAACGTGAGATTCAGAAATGTGACAGTTGTAAAATTCATAGTTTTCCAGTTTTTCCCAGACGTATATTAAAAAGTGAAGATGTAACCACACAAGGCAGCTTTTCAGTCGTCCATCACATCCTACCCCTGCTCTGAAATAGCTTGCATGTCACTGAGTCTGCCATAAATGCATAGACAATGGACATAGTACAGTCTGTGTCAGAAGGTCCTGTATTATGCAAACAAAAAAGTCTCCTACAAAGGTGAAAAATTTCAAAATGTTGAGTTTAGGAGGGAAGAAATTACAGCCTGCACTGATGTTAGATCCTCTTGTTTAGCGTCCACTCAAAACATTTTATTGAGCTCAGCTGCAAAGACAACACCCTTACATTTCCTAACCAAAAACAGAGGCTTGAAGTCAAGTTTCATTCACTTTCTCTTTTCCCTATTGCTGTCCACTGTCCTCAAAGATCTCTAAAAAAATGGCTCTTCTTTGCACATCCATTTCTCTGGCTTGTGTATAGAAATGTGTGTACTTTTCGTTTCAGAATCATTTCTTCCAAAGAGTTTAAAAGACTTGTCGCGGTCATTGTGACTGGTTGTTCTTGGCCCTGTCAAAATGTCCCTGTTGCTATCACTGTCTCTGTCACAGGCCTGCTTCTTTGAGATGAGATGCATAGAGTGCTGTGCACCAATCCTTTTTTTCGCCATTTTATGTTTCAGCTTTGAGGACGTCATGGAAAACAACGAGTCAGTGCAGGGCGATAATGGACTTTTAATGTTGGAATATGACATGTCTTGGTAGGCAGCTAAAGACATGAAGTCAGCTGTGTCCTCGATTTTAGGCTTCATTTTATCAATGGAAAGATGTGCTTCATCCACTCTTTCACTTTTTATGCCAGTGCCTCCTTGATTGTCTCCGTCTTCAGTTTTGATGGTGTCTTGTTTATTGACGTCACTCAGGTGTGCTGAGTATTTAGAACATGGTGTGAAGTTGTCAGAGTTATATCCTTCCTCGTTTGCTTCCTGGTGTTTTTTCTCATGGCTTCTCTTGGTAGCAAGGTAGAGAAACCTCTGGGGACAGAAGGAGCAGCGATACTTCTTCTCTGGGTTGGGGCTCCGGGGTGTGTTATCAAAGCAGGAGCCATTTTCCATACAGCTGTTACAGATGTAATCACCACCAGCAGGTGCCTCACCGGGAGGACCTTGTTTACCACAGGTCCTGCAGAAACATGGGTGGGAACCAGTAACATGAGCTTTCAGGCCCGTCTCTGTGATAAAAGAGCTGTCACAGATGTCACAGTTGTAGGTGGCCCTCGGGCTGGAGTTCCTGCTGAGGCTACGTTTCACCTCTCCACTACCACCTGACACGCTCTCCTCTGTCAGCCAACTACTTTTATCAAGGTGGGCCTCACCAGCAGCAGTTCTATCTGCAGATACATCAGGATAACCGCGAAACAAAGCCTTTCTGTGCTTGAATCTCAACTTCTTCCTTTTCTTTTTAGCTTTGTAAGAATAGTAGGGACGCCAAAGCATATCAGCTGTGTCACAGTCATTGGGATCATCGTATGTCTCTGGTTCTGTGGCGGCAGTGACTTCTGGTCTGAGGCGGAGCCTGGGGCTCTCTGAGTCTTCTCTTATTGGAGGGCACTGACTTGGGCTCTCCTCCTCTCTCCATTCTCTGATTCTCCTTTTCTTTCTTGGGAAGAGCTTAGATCCTTTGATTCGGCGGCGAATGATAGCTTCATTTCCTATTTTCACTGTTATCTGACAGAGTGGCATGGCAGCTCCATCCACCGATGGACCCGGGCATGCAGGTTTGGCGATATATGTTTCTGTCTTTGCTCCCACATCTTTACCGCGTGCCAGATTCTCAGTGCTTGATTGAAGTAGCTCCTTGGTCATATCCTCAACTCTTTTTGCAGAAGCTGATAGCTCACCTAACTTTTTAACCGTGTTCAGAGAGTTAAAGAATGGCATGTTATGACTGATGTGCTCTGAGTTACTCAGTACTGGAGGATCATCTTTGTAACCCACTGCAGGAGAGTCAGGTTGCAAAGAAAAGCTACTGCTGTAATCAGTGAAGGTTGAATCTCTGTTGTCAGCCTCTTTTCTTGTGCCTCTCTGAATTTCCAATTCACTGTTCAGACTTTGGTCAACATGTTGGTCACATGGCTTGTCAAAGCTGATGCGAGGCATGACAGGTGCCACCATCTTTGTGGTTGCCATGAATGTGAGAGGGAATGAAACGTTATCATGGTGGCTGATCAGACCGTTTTCTTCAAATGGAGGGATAAGAGAGTTGCTGTCTGGTGGGGCTTCGTCGCCTCTTTCAGCACTCTCTGAGTACGTCTGACTGTACGTCTTGTATTGCCTCTTTCTGAACTTCATAGGCAGAAGCCTGTAGAGTTTGATTGGATAAACACTGGCTTTCAGACCACCATTGGCGGATTTTTTCTTAACAGCTAGACTGGGATCAATGCCGTGAAAAGACTTCTGATGGTTCTTTAAGATATAATATGTCATGAATGTCTCCAGGCAGAAAATGCACTGATAGCGGCGTTCACCCGTGTGCCAGATTTCATGCTTCGTACG